GTACTGATCTAAAGATTCACGTGTACACTATCAAATGATCACAAGCATCTTTGGGATCCCCTAGCTTCCAAGGATGGGCTGCCACTTTACACAGCACCAAGATGCAGCCCAAAGTCTTCTCTACTGGGCCTGTGACTATGAACTTGTATACTTACCAAGAAAAACAATAACAAAGGCAGGCATCCTGAGCTACCTGCTCACATTAGCTAGTGTTTCTCACCTCAGCACTGCTGATGTTTTGGATCATATAGCTTTTTATTTGGGGGAAGGGCGGGGACTATCCTCTGTACTAGCAGATGTTCAGCAGCACTTAACAGCATTCCTCTGCCCACTACCCAACCAAAAATGTCACCATACATTGCCAAATATCCTCTGGGGAGCAAGATCACCTCTAGTTGGGAACCACTGATATAGGGACTTAATATATTCTACCGAATTCATTAAAAGACCCTTGATTCCCAGTGATGGCACTATTATGTGAGATCCCAGATTGGCCCATTGCTCAAACTGATTGGAAAAGGAATGACTAGTAGAGAAACTATCTGAATGTGCCAAACTACAGTTGAAATTTGCAAACAACTATCTTGAATTATCTTCTTAGAGAGGGTGTCTTTGCTTACCTACATTTTGGAGAAATGAAGGACTTCAGATGAAGAGGAGTGAGTTGATCATATTCTTCACTCCATGAAATCATTGGTCTCTTCTCTTATATGTGTTTATTCATATATTTATGTCGTTTCTTTATCCCCATTTCTCATTCTCACCCCCTTCACTCCTTAATGGGATCAACCCTAAGATGTTTTGCTTGTAAGTGTTCTTGTGTAATACATACTATTTTTAATATATTATTTTTAAGTAAACAGAGGCCCATAATCACTTATTCACAATTCTGAAACCCATACAGCTCTGGACACCAAAAGCTTTCTCTTAAACTCACTTAGCAGCAAAATCTGACTCAAGAGATACTAGATTATTTGTCATCTTTATCCACTTAATATAACCATACCTACATTTTGCTGCAGAGATACTGTGTTCAACTATGAGATGTAACCTCCTCCCTTTCCAAAATACAAATTTCTTGAATCTCAAAACAAATCTAATTCCAAGGGTTTAATTGCCTAGTATTATATACAGATCTTATTCTGCTTTTACCTTTATACTTTTACCCAATATTATGTTTTTAAGACCTATCCACATTGTAGGAACACATGTTGTACCTCTTGTTCATTACCTCTAACCACTGCAGATTACTCCATAAAGTGGGTCCCTCCATTTTACCTACCCACTCCCCCAAAGCACAGCTGGATTGCCTTCAACTCCCACCACTAAAAACAATGATATAATGAACATCATCATACATGTCCCTTTATGGGCCTATATAAGAATCTCTTTGGGAATAAACCCAAGGTAGAACAGCGGATTATCAGGTGTGCATATGTTTAATATGACCAAGCCAGGGGCCAGAATGTCCTCCAAGACAGCTGCATCAGCCTAGTTGCATTATGCAAAGGATCTGGGAGTTCTACACTTCCCCCAACCCTTGTCAGTAGCCAGTGTTGCAATTTTTGCTACTCAAACAGGTATAAAGTGATATCTCATTCTTGTTTTCATTTTTATTTTTCTAATCACAATGTATCTTCTCTAATTTTAATATATCTGAGCATCTGGTGATGCTGGTTAGCCTTCGGGGTTTCCTCTGAAAATTGCCTGTTCATAAGTATTGCCTGTTTTCATTGAAGTTTCTCTTTCTTGCTGACTTGTAGGAGTTCCTTGTAACTCTCCTATATTTTTAGACATTGCAAAATATCTTCTCCCAATCTGTTAGCTGTCTGTTAATTGTCCATGGTTAACAAGAATCCATAATACAGAAATTCTTAACTTTTATGTAATTAAATTTATCAGTATTTTGCCTTATGGCTTGGAGGTTTGAAGTTTTTAAGAACTCCTTCCCACTCTTGAGTAACAAAAATAATCTCCTACCATTTTTTCAACTACTGTTGTAATTTTACTTTTCACATTTAATCACAGTGGCTTTACCTTATAGGCTGTTTTAGGTTGGAGTTCAGCTTTATTTTTCACCATATACTGAGAGCATTTTCTGCCTCATTTACCTGAGTGCCATCTGTTTCTTATACTAAATGTCCATATATATATATATATGTGTGTGTGTGTGTGTGTGTGTGTGTGTGTGTGTGTGTGTGTGTCTACCTTCAATTACTCTATTTTGTCTCAGTGGTCTATTTGGCTGTTCGTTTGACAAACATTATTCTTTTTATTACTGCTTGAACTATGTTTTTATATCCGGAAGGGCTACTCCCCTTATAAATTATTTCTTTAAAAGTTTAGCTTATATATTCATGAGCTTTTATTTTTACATATACACTTTAGAGTAGGTTTATTATTAAGTTCCTCAAAAGTGTATTGGTAATTTGTATTGGGATTCATTTCAATATGTGAATTAATTAGAAGAGACTTGAGCTCTTTATATATTAAGATCTTCCATCCAAGGGCATGGACTTTGTTTCTATTTAAATTAAATCGCTCTGTGCTCTAGAATAGACTCTTGAATTTTTCTCTAAAGTCTATGCTATACTTACATTAACTCAAGCAATAATCACAGCAACCTTATAATATGGGTTATTTTATTATCATTTTCCAAATGAGGAAACTGAGACCAAAAAATAAGTATCTTACCCAAAAACACACAGCAAGTAACAGAACCTAGATGAACCTAGCTTCAAATAGTTTAGAGTCCATACTCTTATCTGTTTATTTATTATCCAGTATATTATTTTACTATATATTCTGATCAATTGTTGAAGATGTAGAGAAATTTGGATGATTTTTGAAAGATGATATTTGCATTTAGTGAAATTGCTGAATTCCTTATTCAAAGGTCTGTTGTTTTTGTTGCTTTTTTTGTATATCAACTGTAAATAATAATTTTTACTTTTCCTTTCCAATTTTTAAATCTCTTATTTCTTTTTCTCGCCTTACAGCATTGGCCAAGATTTCTAGTACAATGCTAGACACTATGTAGGAGTGATTGTCAGCAAAGAAGTTCTCTTAAAGAAAAGTAATGTTACGGAGAAGAAGGTTTTCACTTTATCTTGTCTAAAGTATGTGTAGCACAACAGAGAACTGTATCACAAAAGTATAAGTCAGAAATTGTGTCTGGAGGCCAAGTATCTATTCTGAGCAGAGGCCCTGTGCTCATCCGTGTCCAGAAATTACTTTCCATAAGAGACAGCCCTTCCAGGGGAAAAATAGCTCAATACAATAAACTTGACTTCATTCTGATTTAACTCCATCCCAAGACCGTATGGCAACAGCACAGCTCTACACCTGTCATTTGCTTCATATGATCTGCTGGACACAATTGTTTCTGGCAATGCATTGGTTTCTATCCTCATGGGGGGATTCATAGGCAGCAGCATTGGAAGGAGCTTTAGAGATCAATAATTACTCTTATTTTACACACATCTAAAATTCCCTGTGGTGATGCTTCATCAGCCTTAAGCCATGACCCATGTGGGGAGCTGGTGCCAACAACTGGAGAGTGCTTGATTCGGACCGGGAGATAACACAGCTTTCTCCTAACTGGGTTCATCATCCCATCTTTAGTAGAGGCCAGTCCTGTGTAGTGTTCGTGGTAGCTATGGGATGCTACCTCATCCATCCTGACTTTAGTGGGGATCCAGAGGAAAGGAGGAGGAACCACCCACTCTTCTCTCCTGTGCTCCAAAAGGCTTTTCCTACCCAAGATAGGTGCATCTACACAAAGGTGGGCACAGGTGGCTCCATAGGGAAGTCCTAGGGCCTGAGTGCCATCAAACTCATCAGAAGTTCTAAGTGGGTGACCAAACACACCCTTCCTTTCCCACACACCCAGGGTGACTAACCCTTGAGGAAGAAATGAGTGAACTGAAAAGTCCCACAGGAACCTCAAACCCAGAACATCTAAAGTGGAACTTCTTAGCATCGCCTGCAAATTCACTCTCCCCTTACAGTAACCCGTGTAGGACCTGGAACAACTTCCATTCAGCCTTTCTCAGAGCCTTCCTGCCCCTTAAACCTGAGGACTTACCAAGCCTTGCCCCCTCCAGCCCTGACAATCCCTCCTATGCCCTTTGCTCTCCATTCTTAAAGGAGCCTTAGCCACATCTTCCCAGCTGCTCCATCCACTCCTGACCCCAATCCATCCTCCACACTGCTGCTAAAGGGAGTCTTTCATCATGCGTATCTAACCATGTCTCCTGCCTAACACCCTAGAAAGCTCCCCACCAAACCTCACAGCAGAATATGCACTCCGTAGCATGGCATCTCCTAGCACGGCAAGGCCATGGCCATCTCCAGCCTCACAACCTGACAGCAGGACTTCCCCTTGACTGTGCTTCTCGTCCCTGCTCCCCCTGCACCCCTCCCCCTGGAAGTGCCCTAATGCCTACTCACCCCTCAACACTCGGGCTGGGGGCTCCTGTTCCTGGGAGCCTTTGCTGCCTCCTCACCCACATTGTTCCTGCTGAGGTGCCCTCTCTCTGGGCGCCCAGGACCCTGTGCATCCATTCCACTAAATTGTAACGGTTTTCTCCTGGACACTGTCAGAAACTGGATTCTCTAAAGGAGTGATTATTGCATAGACAGTCTGGTTTCATCCCTTTCTTGTTGAAAATGGTACCTGTGGACAAAACAAATAAAGTTAATTCGGTGTGGAAGTGCCCCAAAAGGACCTGTTCATGGCTGGGTGTCCCGCACCTGCCACACTGTCAGCCTGGAACACTGTGGACGATCTGAATAAATAAATGATGAGTGAATGAATGAAGAATGATGAAGGAATGATTTGCCCACCCCCATCCAGAACTAGGCGGGAGGGCAGAGTCGAGGCATTCGCTGCGTACAGCAGAAAGTGGGGTCACTCCTCGGCGCCCCGTCGGGAGGGGGCGCAGCAGGACCGCAGGGCGAGGGCTGGGCTGCTTGGGGCGGGAGCTTCCGAGGCCGGGGAATGAGGGTGGCGGGCAAGGGGTCGGGCTTGCCCGGAGACCCAGCGCCGCGACAATGCCGGAATTTCGCTTTCCCTTTGGGGCAGCCGGAGGCGGCGGGGCCGTCCCGGAACGTCTGCGGCCAGGCTCCCGGGGAGTTAATCCGAAAGCGCCGCAAACCCCGCGGGCCGACCTCCACGTGTCACTAGAAGCTGATGTAGAGAGAGACCGAGAGAAAGAAAGCAAGAGACCGAAGTCCCGGGAAAGTCCTGTCGCGCTTCGGGGCAATTATAAAAATGTGACCCCCTGGGCCGGCATCCCAGCCACCGCCCTCCCCTGTCGCGCCCGCCCGTCCGCGTCCAGCCGCCGGCTCCGTGCACAGCGCCCGCTCAGCATGGGTCCCGCTCGCAGTGAGTTAGCAGCCTGAGCGCGGCGTTGGGGTGGGGAGGGAGGCGCGGGGGCAGGGGAGGCACAAACTTGGGGCCGCTAAGGCAAGACTAGATCAGCAGGGTCTTGCCAAGGAGAAAGGGAGGGAAGACTTAGAGCGTGTTCACCCCGCACTAAATAGGAAGGGCAGTGTCTTTTGAAACAGCCTCCCCACTTAGCAGTTTTGGAACTGAGGCCCCCAGGGGTAGATTTCTTGATCAGATTGTCTCCGCAACAGCTGTAAGAGGGCAGATCCCAGCAAGCTTGAAAATGAGGCTCTGTCACCCCACTGTTCCCAAAACACTAGGTCATGAGTCTGAGCCAGACACTTCAGCACCTGACCTCGGTTTCCCTACTGGCAAAATGGAGGCTTTTTCTGGGTGAGCTCTGAGTCCAAAACCCTCATCCAGAGTTCATTAGGGGCTCTCACAGAGTAGGCTTCTAGCCCTAGAATAGAGCACCACCCTCCAGGAACTTGATTCCTCTCTCAGGTGTGGAAGGAAGACTGGGAATAAGTGGAGGTTGGTGCCTCGAAGGAGTGGATGGGTGGGTGGAAATGCCCGAATGGACCGAAGTGACAAGCTCAGCCTGCCTCTCACTTCCCTTCCAGGGCTCCTCCTCGTGGCCATGCTGGCCCTCCTAAACCACCTGGGCCACCCCGGTTTGGCCAGGAGCCTCCCCACAGCCACACCAGGCCTAGGAATGCTCCAGTGCCTCAGCCACTCCCAAAACCTGCTGAGAGCCGTCGGCAACATGCTTCAGAAGGTGAGCTTTTCAGTGTTCCCATTCCCACTTTGCAGCCTCTGTAGGGAAGGGGCTTCTCTGAACCCTCGGTCACCTGAAGGAACTGCAGAGAAATTGTGGACGTTAATCAGGAGATGTCAAGAGGGGGAAAGGGAACTTTACAAATGGCCCAACTAATAGCCAAAGAATCTCAGTGAAATTGTGTCTCCAGAGAAAGCAAGAATGGTAATAAATTATAATGGCATTTGTATTGGCTGCATCCACACAGGGGAAAGTGGATATTTACAGTGTTCCCGGTAGCCTGCCAACAGAGACGAAATTGTGTCAGGCCCACACTGTTTCTCTGACACACTTATCAATCCAGGAAACTGTTATGAGGTGCAGTCTCTGTGCTCCCAGGGGCTACAAAGATGAATTAGACTTGCCCTTCACGTTGCTTGCCAGCTTCCAGTCTGGTGACACACTTTGTTGTCAGAGTAACATTTCAGAGGGCCCGTGATGCATGTCCAGACCTCATTTTCTAGTGAGAGAGCTATCTGATTTTTTTTGACAAAGAGTTTACCTATTTTTATGTATAGAGTTATCTATTTATGAATGAATTTCATTCCATTTTTTAGGTTTCATATTTTAATGCAAAAAAATTTTTTTCCTTTTAAAAGTGGCCCAATAAGCCATTGCTTTTGCCACAATGGCCAAAACCAATGTTTTTAAAAGCTGTCCTTTTGCCTTCCTGCTTGCCAGTAAATCTTCCTTGAATATTTTCTAGCTTGTTGCTTTATGACTATCTTAAAATAAGTTCAATGCCACAAGGCCTCTTAAAGAATTTTCTCCCTTCTAAATCTTTCATAATGTGCTGCCAACTGCTCCTTACAGTTCAATCAATCTTAATTAAAAGGCGGCTCACCAAGTGAAAACTGAAGAGATGAGTACTTTGATTCCTGAAGAAAGGTTCAGTGTTGATACAATTTTAGAGCTCCAATTTAAAGAGATGCTTTATGTGAAAAGCTGACTCTTCTACTCCCAGATACTGCGCTAAAGGTCAAAAAATCATAGAACTCAACTTGATATTTTTATATCATTCCTTTGTCCCATTTGCCAGAAGAAGGCAGCTGGCTACTGCAGAAAAGACAGGTAGCACATGCGCACAGTTCACAGTAAGCAGCCCACAGACTTGTGTAGTTTGGCCCGTGTCTTTCATACTTTATTTTGATTTTTGAGTTGGTTGGTATTGAAAAAGTGCAACTTTTCTTATTCTTTCATGTAAGAATACAAATTTCCATCTTCCCTTTAAAAGCATCTGAAGAAAGTTGACAGAGGGCCTGCATTTCCAAAGCTCTCTCTTTATGACCTGCTCAGGACAGTGGCTGCCCAGGTCTGCTTCAACACCTCCAGAAAGACTGCACCTTTCCCTGTTGATGCTGTAACTGATTACCACAAACTGAGTGGCCTTACACGACACTAATTTATTATCTTACAGCTCTGGAGGCCAGAAATCCAAAATGGGTCACTGGGCTAAAATCAAAATCAGCAGAGTGCTGTCCTTTTTTGGAGACTCTAGAGGAGCATATGTTTTTTTGCACTTTCTAGCTTCTAGAGGCGTGTGGTGCCCTTCCCTCTTCAAAGCCATCTGCACCCTCAAACCTGGACTCATGCTTGCACAGCTCCCTCCACCTGACGGAACTCATTCTTCCTCCTCTGCCTGTCACCATTCTAATCCTCTTAATGCAGATGTCCCATCTCTGGGAAGCTTTTGCTTGCCTTCCAGCCAGCTCCTCAGAGCCTTCTTACCCTTCTTAGTACTTTTTACCTCCTAGTCATTTGGGCACTTGCCTGTGTCTGCAGCTGATCTTGGAACCCTGGGGCTGTAACATAGTGCTCTTGTTTGTCGTGTCCCTTAGTACAGCAGTCCCCCCATAGCGATGGGGGTTGCATCCTAAGACCCCCAGTGGATGCCTGAAACCATGGATAGTTGATAAAATGAGATGATAAAATGACTGTGTGATGAGAGGAAGTGAGGTGAATGATGTAGGCATTGTGATGTTATGCTTCTATGTTTTGACCTTCTCACCTATGGTCAAAGGAGAAGGATCATCTGTTTCTGGCCTGTGGTTCATCATGGGTAACTGAAACTGGAAAGTGAACCCTCAGATAAGGGGGGGACACGTATGCCTAGCATAGTGCCTGGTACACATCAGTCTTATTAATTGGAAAAATGACCTTGATCAACTTCTTGAGATAAATATCATAATTCAACAATACTTTTCCAACATGCTTGTAAAATGATGTGTGTGTGCGTCTGTGTGTGTCTGTGTGTGTGTGTGTCTGTGTGTGTGTATGTATGCAAACCAAATCTCCACTTACCTTTAGGATTGCATGTCTATTATAGCAATCAAGTTGTGACCTTAACAGGTCCCCCCCTTTAGAAGTTATACTTGAAAAAGATATTCATAAAACACAGGGGGTTTGGCAAAAGAGAAAAACTGTTTTCACCAAAAGCAAGTGTCACAGCGTGGTGTAGATGCTGATTAGCACAGGCTGCTGAAATGATTTATAGTGTTTACATAATAGAAAAACGTATCATCCAGAGTTACATGTCCTAAGTAAAGAAGAGGAGGTAAATGACCTGTTCCCTTTTGTCTTATGAAGACCCCAAATTTCTTACAGGTCAGAGAGACAGAGGTCAAGGACCGCCAGTTCTCTCTTTGCTCATGGGAGCCAGGAACTTATTGATATTATAAACTGGGTTCTCTTTTTATGTTCTCTTAACAGGCCAGACAAACCCTTGAATTTTACTCCTGCTCTTCTGAAGAGATTGATCATGAAGATATCACAAAAGATAAAACCAGTACAGTGGAGGCCTGCTTACCACTGGAATTAACCACGGTATAGCTGATTTTCTTCCCAAAGCATGTAATACAGTTAAGAGCTAATAAAACCTCATCTTCTTTCAAAAATTTTCATGGTTCTGGTCTCCATCATCAAGGGCCTTGAACAGGTCCCACTTCAGAAGTTAGATCTGAAAAAAAATTACAAAACAAATATGTTTTTTCACAATAATGTGAATATACTTACCACTACTGAACTGTACACTTAAAAATAGTTAAGATGGTAAATCTTATGTTATGTGTTTTTATTACTACAATAAAAAAAGATATTTTGGGGGAGAAAGTTCAGAAAAACATGTATTAAGAATTAACATCTTTGATGTGCAATTTTTTTTTTCTCTAGAATGAGAGCTGCCTGGCTTCCAGAGAGATCTCTTTCTTAACTGTAAGTCAGAAAATTCAAGGTTTCAGCCCATATTATGAATTCATATCATTGATGTCTGATTATTTTTTCTTCTAGAATGGGAGTTGTCTGGCCTCCAGTAAGGCCTCTTTTATGATGGTAAGACACAAAACTCTTTCCTCAAACGCAGTGCAGGGAGATGGGGACATTTTTAGCCCATCTCAATGTTCCCTTCCCCATTTTATCATCTCACCCAGACCCTGTGCCTTAGCAGTATCTATGAAGACTTGAAGATGTACCAGGTGGAGTTCAAGGCCATGAATGCAAAGCTTTTGATGGATCCTAAGAGGCAGATCTCTCTGGATCAAAACATGCTGGCAGCTATTGATGAGCTGATGCAGGTAAGGCCTTCTTTCTATCAGTGAGAATACCTTCATGCTGAGACAGCCAGCCAGGGTCCCTGATGGAGAAATATAAAAACCAGCCCTTTCTAATTGGGAGAGGCCTGAAATCCCCATTCTAAAATCCCTGTAGAGCCATAGCCTTGAAGGTGCCTTCTAGAAAGAGCAAACAGGAGCAGATCATGTTAAGAAAAGCAGCCTCCCATTTGTTGACTGTGTAGTAGGCACCAGAATCTCAACAAATGTTTTCCTCCTTATGTCTTCCACAACACCCATAGCTGGTCTGTCTGTACACAGGAGGAAACCAAAACGTAAGAGAGCTAGTCACTTGTCCAAAGCCACACAGCTTCTAAGTGGCAGAGGCAGGATTTCAACCCCCATCAAAGGGATTCCACTACACTTCGCTTCTTGTTCACTTCTGAAGGCTCCAGGATGTGCACATGAGGGTCCAGCATGCAAATTTCTCTGATATTACTTGAGAAAACAAGTGGGACTAGCGCCTGGGTATGACCCCCTTTTGAACTAAAATGTGAATAAAGTAAGAATGACCTACCACTGAGTTCATCCACAATTGTACTCACAGACAGGTACTACTTTGTAATTTTTTCAGTCACCATAACACATGATGCTGATACAAAACATAGAAATATCCATGTAAGACAGGGTGAGTGCCTTGGTGATCAGGGTATGGGATAAAAATTACAGTGTCAGGAATCATCTGAAAAGGAATCTTCCTTCCTTTTCTTTCTTTTTTGTGCCAATTACCTATTTGGAAGGCAGTGAACTTCACATATGCATCACAGAATGTCACTGTACAGAGTTGTTATGATATTCCATTTCAGGTCCAAGAGTCAAGTGATCTGGGTGCTGGAATCAGTTCTAATATTAATCAGACAGTTATGCTCAAGCCATTTCTCTCTCTCTGCCTCAGGCTTTTCCTCTGCAAAATGGGATGGCTTCACTCACCGTACCTTTCTTTTAGGTTTTTTTGTGAGGAACAAACAAAAGTTCTGATCATTGTGGAAATATAAGGTCTTGCATTATGTTATCAAATTAAAGGGCTGAACCTGGGAGATCCATTGTCAGGGGTATTGATCTGACACAAACGAGTCTGTAATAAACAGGTCTATTACTGATAGAGAGTTCCAGTCAATAGCAATCTATCACCTCCTTGTTCTAAAAGGACTTAGCTTCTTAATATAACATAAAAAATTTAATTAGATATTGCAGCAGATGTCATCTTAACAGAATTGTTCCTTCCTAAAATACAACTCCCACTAAATGGTTTTCTAAATAGCTATAGGGTCTTTTCAGAGCTCACTGAAAAGATATACATGCTTGGATAATGAATCTTCCTTCTCTCAGGTTCGCCTGCCATCTGGCTGGGAGTAGATTTGGGTTGGGTTTAGTAGATATAATGAGGGAGTGGGTTGCGGGCTGAGACATGTATTGGCTTCACCCATTTTTATGGACCAATGTTTTAATTTTGGAATACTGTAAATGTCATGCTTAATATTTCTCCTAGGCCCTGAGTTTCAACAGTGAGACTGTGCCACAAAAACCCTCCCTTGAAGAACCGGATTTTTATAAAACTAAAATCAAGCTCTGCATACTTCTTCATGCTTTCAGAATTCGTGTGGTGACTATCGATAGAATGATGAGCTATCTGAATTCTTCCTAAAATGCTGAGGTCTCTCCCAACCTTACAGGCATTTTTATAACAATTTGAACCAAAGAAATTTAATAGGATATGGGTTAAGAACTGGGGACAGGATGACCTGTCATGGCCCTACTAAGCTAATACAATAATTCTCATGCCTGTTTACATTAGTCACCACCCAAAATTTGAAGACTCAGACTATAATATCCATATGATTCCTTTGGTCAAGTATATTTCCCATTTACTACAGATAAGTTGTTTTTAAGTTTTCATGAGCAAAATGCTGAGGGAAAATGTCCTCACTGAACATGTTTTTCTTTTCCTTTTAATAGAAGAGCAAGAATTTATAAGCTATTTCTGTACCAAAGTGTTTGTAGGAACAAACACTCAAGCATAATTTATTTTAAAATATCTATTTATATAATTTTATGTTCATGAAAGCATGTGAACTTATATTTATTTATGTAATATTTATTAAAATATTTATTATCAAATGGATTTCAGTAATAACATGTTCTAAAAATAAAATGATTGAATTAAAGTAATTCTCATACTTTTTTAATGTAGTTGGAATATATTAAATGTTAAAATCACATTGTGGGAAAACTGAAAACTCTAATGAAATTTCAGCAAAATTCCCTTGGAAAGAAATGCCACAATATGCTTACCTATTTTCTAGGTCTTTTAACTCCAGATTTTAAAGGAAGCCTAGTAAGACTAGATAGGCTCTGATACTGAAGCCATTGAATGAGTTATGGTTTTTGAGAGTATGCTTCATGATTGTTCAATATCTGAATCTGAAAGTAAAATATAAAGAAATGTTTTTCCCCTCTTAACCACAGCCCTGTAACTGTGCATTAGACAAATACATAATACCGTCCAACTGGGAAAAACATCATTAAGAGAACTTCTAGTTAAATTATTCTAATTTTTATGACCTGGGCCCTCCAAGGGAACTTGTTTCTAAATTACCATGAGAAAAACTCTCCAATTGCTTTAAACTTCTGCCTAAACCACAATGGATGATTGCCTTGCTTTGGCTTAAGAGATGGGCTTTTAAGGACCCAAATATTAAATTCCATCTTTTCAATTCTCTAAACCATATACATTTTAACAGATTCACCTGACAGAATGCCATGTAATTTTAGTACTCTGATAATCATACTCTTCCTTACTATGAAAAGGCTGTAGGAAAGGACCTCGTCAGAGTCCCTCCTTTGCTCCTGAGAATCCCCCTGATCCTTGTGACCAACTGTCTTGCCAATGGGTTTCAGCCCCGGGCAAGTTCGCTATGGATTCAAATGTGACCAAAGAAATTGACAGCAAAACATTCTCGGGATGAAAGGCTTATACCCAACTTTATTTCCAGTTGGCAGGTCAGTCACTAGAATCCCATTCACTCAGAGCAAGTCTGTGTGCAGCAAGCCGGTCCCTGACTCTGGGCCCCTCTGTCCGCACAGCCATCCTCTGGGCCCCTCTCCCTGCACAGCTGTCCCACACAGCCGTCTGCTGGGCCTCTGTTCTTGGCGCTGCCACCTCTCCAGCCTCTGCTCTGCTCTCCTGCAGCCTTGCAGCTGTGCCACCGTGTCACACCCAGAGCACAGGGTGGAGCTCTTTTTATAGAGTCAACAGCCATGTAGTGTCCACGGATGTGCAATGAGCTAGTCAACCATGGCCAGGTGGGAATCCTGGCCACAGGAACTCTCATTTTATCCACACTCCACCCCTCCAGGATTCTCTCCTCTCAATCTATGTGCCCTCAGTCCTCTGCAGTGGTCCCTGTGCAAGGAAGCTCGGACATTGTTCTCCAGCCTCTCCAGCAAAAAGTTTTGCAGACTCACAGGCTCTGTCTCTGACCTCTGCCTCTTTGGTCTTAATGGCTGGAACTGCTGCTCTGGTTTCAGTTGTTGCCATAGCTCCAGTAAGATCCTATTTGGCTTCCCATCTAATTTCCTTCCATCTACTCCTGCCCATATAAAATCAACCCACATCTGGGTCTTCATAACCCTCACGAGGCCCCTCAAATTCCTCCTATGAGTAACAGGTCTTATTTCTTTCCAGGTTCTCGTTGCTTCAGCTACTGTACATGTCATCTCCCATTTTGTAATCGCTGCCTCAAGGCGGGCTGCACTGTCAAAGAAGATAGCTTTCCCATCTCTGATACCGACAGAACAATTCCATCCACCCCTAAGTCCCACAGCCACCAGCTCAGCCTGAATATAGGGGTGGACCATAGAGCCCCAAGACCTGGGGAGGGGCTCCTCCTCTCCTTGGGGAACTTCCAGCTGCTGGGTCTCTATTTTCTTTACAACCACTGGGCATGCTTTCAATACAGGAGGGGCCAGTGCCTCTGGCACCACCCCTTCATCCTTCCCCAGCTCCTCCATTTCTGGGCCTGATGGCACCTTTCTCTCCCCTCCCCCAAGTGCCTCCTCTGCTACAGTGCCTCGCAACAATGCCAGCTCAGTCTTCAGAAGGTCTCTTACCTTCAGCTTAATGCTTCACAGCTGATGTTCTCGTGCCACCGCTGCCTGTGCTTCCCTCAGGAGTTCATCCCTTTCCTTGATGGCCTCTTCCTCCTTCAGAACACCTGGCAGCACTGCCATCTCATCTCCAATGGCACCTTGCTGCCAGCGCTCTCGTGCTGCCTCCTCCCGCATCAATGCCATCTCCTTCCTCAGGGAATCCACAGAAGTCTGCAGCTTGCGTTCTCATGCCACCATTTCATGGGTCTCCTCTGTAGACCTTTTTAAGACTGCGAGAAGCAGCCAACCCACAGTCCCTGCTGCCTCCTGGGCATTTAGCTTCTCAAAGGATCCACTTACTATACCAAGGGCCACCCCTGCTGCCTCAGGTGTCACCTCCACTTGCCTCCAGTCCTGGGGTGGGGCCCAGTCCTCTAGGAGGCAAGCCACCTCAGACCACATACCCATTGGGGTATGATCCACTGTCTCCCCATTCACAGGGGCAGCCCGCTGAAGCACCCCTCCCATAACAGCAGCCTGTCTTTTCCTTGATCAACAATGAATCCTGCCAACTACACCAATGGTCTTGCCAATGGGTTTCAGCCCTGGGCAAGTTCACTATGGATTCAGTGTGACCAAAGAAATTCACAGCAAAACGTTTTCAGGGTGAAAGGGTTATACCCAACTTTATTTTCAGGTGGTAGGTCAGTCACTAGAATCCCATTCACTCAGAGCAAGTCTGTGTGCAGCAAGCCGGTCTCTGCCTCTGGGCCCCTCTGTCTGCACAGCCATCCTCTGGGCCTCTCTGCTCAGTCATCCTGCACAGTCATCCTCTGGGCCTCTGTCCTCAGCGCTGCCATCTCTCCAGCCTCTGCTCTGCTCTCCTGCAGCCTTGCAGCTGTGCCACCATGTCACACCCAGAGCCCTGGATGGAGCTCTTTTTATAGTGTCAACAGCCATGTATTGCCCACAGCTGTGCAGTGAGCTAGTCAACCAGTGCCAGGTGGGAATCCTGGCCACAGCAACTCTCATTTTATCCACACCAACATTCATTTTTCAGATTCTCAGCCTACTTGATAAACAATTATATAGAAATCATCACAAGTTAGATCCTGTCATTTGCTTTTTCTTTAGGGATTTCTTCGCAAACTTGAATGACCTGCAAGTGAGTCACAGACAGGAGTCCCTTGCTGGTAAACAGCGCATTTAGGGTTTCAGCAGCTTTGAGAGTGGTTAGAGCTTGATGGCTGGAGGCGGCTGCGGAGCTGCTGGCATCCTCACAGGGACTGGTGACTTGGCTGGTGTCTGCCGGTTGTCTGCGCCCAGAAGGAAGAAGAGGCAAGCAGATTGTCCTGTGGGTGGGCTTATGCAGAGTGAACAGAGGTATTAACTTTGGTTCTAGAAATTATAACATATGCTTCAAGAACATGACTGGCCCAAGAAACGTCTTCACAATCAATTCCATTCTGCATTACATGGTTAGTTTACCACTTTTTCCTTTTAAGCTGTGGTCTGCAACTTACAAGTTGTATAACATGACCACATTGTTCTAACCTCTCCACCTGTTTCCTCTTCTAAGAAATAAAGATAATACTAGAACCTACTTCAGAGGATCAGAACCTTGGTTAAATGGAACAACTCATACAAAGCACTAGCATTACACCTGGCACATAATAAATACACAATTCATGTGAGCAATTTTGGGAAATTACTAGTCTTCAGGCTTGGTGGCTAAGTCAAGTTCGTTAAACTCCCTTTGCTACTATTTCCTATATGTGAAATTCAGAAAATTGTATTTCACGGTGTTGTTTTGTAAGGATTCAATGACACATCACAGTGCTGCCATCTCTTTTGAGTCAGTGTTCTACATCAAGTTTTTTTAATTGTTAGATCATTTGTTTAAAGAGAGCGATGCCCTGTCCCTCCATGCACTCAGCATATCATGGATGTTCAGCAGAGGAGGGTCATCTGGTGCAACATATGAGGGCAAAAGGCAGAGGCACAGCCCTCACGGAATGGAGGGTGGGGAGCCAAGCACACTTACTAAGACTTGAGATCCCCCTAAAAATATTCCCCAGTCCTAGCCCTTTAGAGATCCATTTGATTAACAAGTTTACTTTTTTAAAAAGAAAATAAACACTGAAAGTGTTTCTTTCACCTAAGAATGACTTAGAGAATCAACATGAAAAACAGCTGACAGCTGCCCCACTGAGGGCCCAGAGGTTTGGAGAAAGAAGACAGTTCTCAGGAGCAATCTGGGCAGACAGTCAAAGGTGGGTATTGGACAACTCTAGGAGATGCAAAAGGACCTTAGATACCCTGAGGAAAGAAAACATGCAGACAAAAAGGGAAGAAAACCAGCTTTGTCTGGGGCCAATGCAGGCAGAGGTCACAAGTCCCCTTGGCCATATTACCCCTGGGCCATTCAGTTTTGACCTTATTTGGGAACTAAACATTTGGTTCTACCTAGAATAATTTAGCCTTCCAAGTTTAAGGCAAAGTGTATCACAACATTGTTATGGACTGAATGAGTCCCCCTAAAATTCTTCCACTGAAGGCCTGACCTCTAGTGTGATGCTTTTTGGAGATGGGGCCTTTTAGGAGGTTAGTTAGGTCCGAAGCATGAAGCCCTTATTACGGCATTAGGGCCCTTTTAAGAAGAGACTTGGTAGCATCTCCCCCACCCCTGGTACCCCTACATGAGGACACAGTGACAAGGGGACCATGTGCCAACAGGGATGAGAGCTCTCAGCAGACACCAAATCTGCCAGCACCCTGATCATGGACCTCCCAGTCTCCAGAACTGTGAGAAATAAACGTCTATTAAGCTACCCAGTCTACAGTATTTTGTCATAGCAGTCTGAATTGACTTGAGAAACTTATTTTAAATAAGACAAAAACTCGTCCACATTTTTCAAAAATTGAGTTGTATCAATTTTTTGGTTGAAATGTGCCTGTTTAGAACAAGTCAAAAACTAGTTATATTTATGTATCTTTGGGTATATTAAAATTATGATTGTGAATTACAGTGGCAATATATCAGAGACAATATAGTCAGAACCTTGTTAGAAGCAATAGAAGCTGATGCTCACCGTGTGCCTACTAAGTACCAGGCATTTTTAAGTGTTAACCACAAATGCATAGAATCCTCCCAATAACCCCGTACAAGGAGGGACTATTGCCTTCCTCTTTCTATAAATGAGGAAACTGAGGTAAGAGGCTATATAAGCATGCATAATGAGCTAAAGATTCTGTGATGTGAACCCAGGTGGCCTGGTCCCAGCCTATGCAAGCAACCACTGCACCCCTTTTGCCTCTTGTATTAAGGTCCCAGGAAGTCAAGGGACACTTTCATCATAAGCATGCAAATATCATCACAGTTATTTATGCACACACACACACACACCCACCTCACTACACTGAGGGTCTCAAGCACAGGAAATATCATTTACTTATGTATTTGTGTTCTCAGGCCCTGGCACTCAACAATGGTATAAAGACAAAGGCAAAAGGCAAATCTTCACAGGTTCCCACACGTCTCATTTCTTTTTCTAATCTAAGAATAAATAAATTCTTTAGTCTTCAAAAATATCACATTCTTCCCAGTTACAAAAAAGTTAAAATGCATGCTTGCTTGGTTCAAAACAATTACACATGCTTATAATAGAGGGAAAAATCCAAACTTCATAACCCGGAGTTAAATAATATGCATAGCTGTGATTCAGAATTACATGGTTACTGTCCCTTAATAACAATGTGCCAACAAAACGTAGCACATTGAAGAACTGGAAAACAGTTCCCTTCATTGCAGATGTTTTAGAACCAGACTCATGGGTGACAGTTTCAAGAGCCCCAAGCAACTGACTCACTGGTTCCCACAGCCAGGGGTCCAGCAGGGCTCCTCAATCACCATGCAGCCCCTCTCACCGAGAGCCACTCCACTTTTGAATGGTTTACCAATGCAAGTTCCTGGTAAGAGTTCACAAATGACTTCTACAGCTAAGGAGAAGTTAAAAACTCAATGAACTAGTCCAAGTCTCTCTATGCAATTACATTTTTTTAAGTAATAAAACCACTTTTTTAGATTTCCCAACTTGCCTGAAAATAAAACATGCTACAAATGCATTGAGCATACTCCCTTCTAAAAATAACACGCACACCAGAAAGTATACAGCAAACTGCAATGGACCTCCAGGAAATAAAGATGACTCACTCACTCTGGGCTGTCTAGGAATCCACATCCTGACCAGAACCAAAGGGACCTCAGTCCTCCAGAGGCTGCAGAGCAAAGCTGGACATTCCAGCTCGGTAGCAGGAAGGACATCAGAATTCCATGCTCAGAATTCAACCCGAGGGCCCCTATTGGAGTATCAGCTGCTACATGGCTGTTACCAGAAATGCTGGAACCATGGTATGTAAGCTGGAAAAGACACAGCCAGCAGTAAAGCCCTGGGTACCCAGATGGGATCACAGCCGATGATCACCCAGGAAGGACCTTCAGTGTGAGCAACAGGCTGTGCCAGCTGCAGAAAATCACCATCCCCAAGAGGACATATTCAAAAATCAGCAAATTCAGGGGCCTCTTCAGGAAATTGGGTGAAAACATGCTTCCATGTGACATAGTAGGGAAAAAACTGTTCACCTAAAGCAATTCAATAAAATAACAAAATGAGTCCCAAATGAGAGAAATCATATTAAAGAGATGCACAGGTAAGGAGCTAATATCAATCCCCCTGGTTTTAAATAAGAACACACCTTTCCATCACCACGGGGAGGAAACTATCGTTACTGGCGCAGAGGTTAAGGGGATACACAAGTTTTCCTGAACCTGTGCAAACTCCTGGGTGAACTAGTTTATCCTGGTTTACACTCCCTCAACCTCAAGTCAAGACCTGGAGAGCTGGGTACAAAACCCACTAATGCCCAACAGCCAAGATAGCAGCAACTGAGGACCAGGATGCTTTAAAAAATAATTTGTAAGTAAATAATAATACAGAAAGACACATTAGCACTGTACAAATGCAGATTTATTTCCTTCCCTTAATCCGTAGTATGAGTATGATTGAAAATTGTTAAGAAGCCAGCTTACATACAAACCACCTCTGAAATTATGCTTTTCCTGGGAAAACAACTTATGAAAAATAATAAACATTTAAAAATTCAAGTCCTTTACAAGTATTTTACACTTCTAAAACTCCATGTGTTTCCTAAAATATAGTACAATTAAAAAAAAATTCATAAAGTGACACTGATTTGAACTCCACAGGATCCCTGACAATTAAAAATACATTCTTCCCTATAAAGTGAATTTGTTCTTCACAGGCAAAACAATAAAGTGTGTTTCTTTGATTAATTCATTGAGATTTATTTTACTGTCCAGCTAATTCCTACAGAAAACTAACAGCAATTTAGTTTCTTCAGATAAGTTAACAAAATACATCCAAAATGTTAATCACCACATACGTCATTCTGAGAGTGACAATATCTACACGTTAAAAAAAAAAAACACTTCAATTAACAAGAGCCAATGTGGCCTATCATTCCTTGGAGCAAGTCTTCTTCAAGAAGAGATGACAGTTTTTCTGTGGTCTCACTAAGTCCATTTCTGAGTGGCAATTTTTTTCCCCTCAGAAAGTAAATGATCCCAGGTTGAAAGTCAAGAAACGTAGTGTTTGGCCTGGTGATATCATAAGGCTGAAGTAACTTGATGTAACTTGTTCACTGATTCAGTGAACTTCCCCAGTGAGATTAGGAGATCACCTCTGAGTTTACATACCAACATCGATGGGGAGGGGATTACATTTCTTTGTAATCGTTCTACGACCAGGTAACATGATTGGCTTAACGATTTCACAGACCATTAGCCCGACAGGTTAGTTAGTAATGGGAGACGTGAAAATCATAACCCAAATAAAAGGATATAGTATATCCCGGGGCAGGTGTATCTTGTCGGAGTGGGAGCTAAAAGAACAGGATACTCTCTTTGTTATTAATGTCAATACGAAAAAAGTGAAAGTAAATTAGTGCAAGTTTAAGTACACCACTTAATTGCTAAAAATGTTGCAAACAGTTGATAGGAATTTCATACTTCACAGACTCCAAACGGAAAATCACCACATTTCTCACCTGCCTGAGTTGAGTCATTTTAAGCACCCTTTGTGAGTGAGTATATGTGTTTGTGTGAGTAGGAGGTGCAAAAAAACAAATCCTGATATTATAGAGGTTTTTTCTTCCTCAAGTTTTCCAAATATTTTACATTCTCTTGGCCCCTGAATAATGTGAGCTGCAGAGCGTCCCTGTGAAAGGAGCTGCTTCCACTGACTGTGAAGTTCAAGGTCTCATCCATCTAGACCTAATTACCAGTTGAAATGGTCTTTTGCGGGTGAAAGTTCCTGAGGTTTCCTTTATCAGTTCATCTTCCCAACTTCACAAGAAACCTAACAAAAGAGAGAATCAAACACATTCAGGGTTTGGTTGCTGGGGGCAAAAGGAGGATGCTTTTAAAGAAAATCAATTTTCCATTTCAAAAAGGAACTTCTGGAAGTGGCTGGGTTTTCCCGTGCTGAAGATAAGCCACTGCAATTTTAAGGCTGTGGTTACAAGATACTAAAATGTCCTCATAAAAATACAGAATTAGGCCAATTAATCAGGTATTTTAGCAACACAAGGGCACAGAATACTGATAAATTTGTTTTTTTGTTTTCAACTCACAGATTTTTTTTCCTAGTTTGAGGAAATTGGACTAATATATCTTTATGATTTCTAAAAAATCTCACAAATCCCTTTATAGTTCTAATGAATCAACAAGTCAAATGTCTAATGATGTCAGCGGCAGATAAAAACAGAAAACAAATAAACAACCTGTTATAAGGGGTTGGCGAGATTTTTTCCACCTTTCTTTGACGGGAAGTAGCTGTGCTTATTCAGTTATCAGAACACAGAGGCCATCTTTGTCCACAGGCAGAAATGCTTATATGCAAATGCAGTAAAGGACGTAAGTTACTGAGGGTAGGCTCAGTAATTTACATAATTTCAACATATCCAAGAATAAGAATTTAAATTCAAGAATACTGAAACCAGCTCTTCTATTTACTTGAGGCTTCTGCACCCCAAGTCTACAGGGGCAGTTCAGGAAGCCTGTCCATGCTGCCCGAGCATATTCTGAGATATCATAGAATGCTTTTACTTCTCATATAGACTTTTGAATCGTCTGCACACTTTTACATTCTTTTGGAATATAAAGTCCAAATAGAATTCCAAACAAAAACTTCTCTCTGACCTACTAAGATTTCTGAGAAGTAACACTCCATTTGTTAACCATGGTAACAATATATAACAATTGGAGCTTTGAATTAGTTTGACCTCAGGTATAACAATATGCTAAATCAAGCACAAATAAATAAGTGCTTAAAAACAAAGGAAGGAACTGTGTGGTTTTCTGGATTGAGACTAGAAACAACTCCCTTTAGTTCCCTCTGGGCTCTGCTATGTCGCTTCCAGACTTTGCCACCTGAGGTTGACTGGTGCCACCCCGTGGCCTCCCTGAGCACTGCTTTGCCCGGCGGGAGTACCAGGAGGCTCAGTGCTACCAGTTATGTCTCATGTACTATAATGACGCTTGTATCTAAGCCCTTACCAAGCCTCACTACCTGCTTGGAGCTTCACACACATTACCTCTTTTCATTCTCACAACAAACCCAGGACATAGAGGCATCTGCATCCATTTGCCAGATGGGAACACAGAGGCTTAAAGTTGGGTTAAGAATCTGCCTAATCACAAAGCTTGCCAGCACTTGAGAAGAAATCTGAACCCTTCCTCTGACTCCAAGGGTACCTTTGCTTAGATTATGGCAGCCCACAAACTTACTGCTGCATTTCCAGAATTCTCTGAACCCCAAGCTTATAACCAATCAAAACATTCTATGGTAAAAATAAGCTTTTTACATAGACACAGCTTGATTCCAAGTAAATGGCTGATTAAGATAATTTCCTGCTCACCTTCCAGAACATTTTGGATTTCAATGGAGACGGCGTTTTTCAAGCAGTTATATAAATTCTGGGCTGTGGCATTACTCTGCTCCTTTTCTTGCCACTTCTTCAGCATCCTAAACTTCCAAAGGGTAACATCTTCGTTCTTCTTCCGGATGTCATCAACATCGTTGATATCCAACTCCAGGTTGGCAATGGCAATTTTTATCCAGTCCTTCCCCAACTTCCCAGCAAGGGTAATCAACTGAGTGTCAGTTAACAGGGTTCTAGTCTTTGCTCCATCTAAAAGCAAATGAGGAATTCAGTAGTGCCTCTCAACACTTCAATCATTTATAGCAATTTATAATGAAAATGTATTCTCTTTATATAAAAAAGGATACCATGATCTGTAACTTTAACTGCTTTTAAAATATATTTAGGTAACAAAAAAATCCCTGCTTTCCAAATAACTATTATAACGAGGAAGGAAACTATTTCATATAACAGTAAATGGGCTATAATGTTCACAATGATAATTCAGTAATTCAGGAAATCAGACTGTTTTACAAAGCAGCACAAATTCGCTTGGAAGGAAAAAAAATCAAGATACCAAAAATAATTTAATTGGGTCGAAAAGAAAAATAAACAGTTCTGCCCTTGCTTACCTCTGTGTCTTTATCTATATGTTAGTGCCACATACATACATGACCTTAGTGGCCACTAAAGGGGACAGCAAGAGATATGAATTGCTCTTTCCATTATGCCATCTCCTGGCTTTAGGGTAAAAAGTGCATTTCATGGCAAAGTCATGAGATGGTATCTGTAACATCTGTTGATCTCTACAAAATAGTATCATAATCTAGAAAGGGCATGTTTGCCGAAGCAAACCACTGACCCCATAGAAAATATGAGGCCTACCATTAAGCTAGATTTTCTACTTTCACATTTTTTAGCTGGTTGTGCTATGATACAGCAAAGCTCACTGGCTGCAGAATTTTGGTTAAGGATCCTCAAGGCGTTACAAATCCCAGAGGTGATATCAACAGGTGGGTGAGAGGTAAGAATAGTACTTTCTCCCCTCCTCCACCCCCACAACACCTCTGCTCATCTATGTGGATCTAACAGTGGTGCTTGGACTCTTGCCCACTTCAGTTCCTTCTCTAACCTCCTATACTGAAGAACGGGTCTACACGTGGCCTGCGCCCTCTAGTGGGGTCCTTATATGTGGTGGCTTGCTCCTAGCTCTCAGCTCTTTGCTGCAATGAAAACTACACAAGGAACCTGTTAAAAATGAAGTTCCAGAACGATCACAAAACCTACTGTAACAGACTCTGAACCTAAATTTTATCAACATCTCAAGGTGATTCTGTTAAGGTTGAGCGCTGATCATATTTTTTAAAGCAACACAGTGACATACTGAGTCTAAAACTACCGGGAATAGTGATTTGATACCTCAAAGAATGTTGAAAAAAATACACAAAATTAAATCTTTATTAATTTAGATACCACACTATCAACTCCAAAAAGGATGAAAATCCTTAATCTTTCCAGAAACTATTTAATAATTTTAATTCTATTTCTAGCTACTTGGTATTGGAACTAATTTTAAATAGCCAAATAATTACATGAAACATGAAAAAGTTTCCCTATATATCAATTTAATATAAAATTGTGTCCCAGTCAATTGTAAGTTCTGAGGATCTAATGTACCACATGACTATAGTTAATAATCCTGTACTGCATACTTGAAATTTGCTAAGAGTAGGTCTTAATAAGCATTCTCATCATCCAAAAAAAAAGAAAAGGTTACTGTGAGGTGATATGCTAATTAATTTAACTGATAAACATTTCACACTGTATACATATATCAAATCATCACATTGTACACTTTAAGTATATACAATTTAATTTGTCAATTATATCTCATTAAACTAGAAAAAAATTGTACTCCAATTCAGTTAAGTTGTAGAAATAATTCCAAAGCTTCAGTTATTTTGGGCTTTACTTATTAAAAATAATCTATTTCTGCACATGTAAAAATCATAAATATCATCTTTACAGCCTTCTGCTCTAGAAGTGAAAAGCATCTTGTTTCACTTTATAGAAAACGAGTTTATCTCTTTTTACAGATTCATCCCTTACAACAAGAGTAGCAGAAAAGGCATTTTGATAAAGGGTTAATTTAGGGAGATATCTGAGGCCCCTAAAGCCTTAAGACCTTGTCCCATACCATTTGAATCTGAGTTTTAAGCTTAGGTTTGTGAATTCTGGTTGGACTTGAATTTTGAGCTACATACTCCACCTTCTGGCTCCTTAAAGAACTGTTGTTAAACATTTTAAATCTCTTGTATTTCACAGCAAGGACCTTTGGCCTTTGCCATTAAAAGAAAGAAATTATGTTGACATTTGCCGCAAATAATAGCGCTGGAGACTCTCCACCCACTCACGCAGCTACTAGCTGTGAAGCCAGTGAATGCACACAATGACATTCATGATTTCATTCATTCAATCAAGGCTCCATGCTCAGGGCTATAGGAAACAGAAAGATGAACAGTCTCTCTGACCTTCCGTTCTACTCCCACGTAGTGAAGGGAAGAAGTGGGGAGTCGAGCTGGGAAAGCAGGCTGGGGCAGACCAAGGAGGAATCACTATCCAGGCCTGAGATGCTGGGTCACAGAGAAAGTTCCGAGGAGGGCAAGAACAACTGGGATGTGGTCCCAGGAAGACTGACCCAATAGCATAGAGTTGGATGAATGTCAATGGGGAGTCCAGGGAAAATTGTTTACAGCCACTGTGACATTTTTACAAACCTGAAGCGTCAACCTGCTTGATTCTTTTATCATAGATCTCCTCATCAGGTAAGCTGCTACTCATTTTTCGTCTTCTGTTACCTTAAATAAACAAACAAATAAATAAATAAATAAACAAATTGGCTTTCCCATGCTTGTCTACCAACCTTCAACCTGAAATTTTTTTTTTTTAATCATTAGTCAGGTAGAAACAACTGAAAATGGATTCAACAGTTGTTCAGACAACTGAGAGTTACAGAACACTTAACAGATCCACAGCAAAAGAAAAATTCTGGTGAATTGAAGGAATAAAAGAGTAGGTTCAAACTCACCACTTATGTTGCTTTTCGAGATGTTCTGATTCTGATCATGCTGAACCCAGTCACCTGTTAAAGTACAATAAGCAACAACTGGTAGAAGTAGTATGAAATTTGAATTGAAGAAATTAATTTGTGAAAGCATGTATAACTGTAGAGTCTTGCCGATCTCCCTGAAGTTCAAATATAAATTTGGGATTTTAACTTGATATGTATGCAAATGTAGTAGACTTGAACTTCTGAGATAAATAATGAATAGTATTCCTTATAACAGATCTCATAGGGTGTTTGCCAAATGAATGTCACCTGTCTACCGCTGTCGTGATTTTTGCCATACCCAAGGCCAGGTGACAAGTTATTAAGTATTTAACTCTATAACTACTGTAACTAGAACACTTGTACCACTTGCCATATGGATAAGGAAGCCACAAAAATAAACATTTTTTATTCTAAATGTGTTTATATGTACTCCACCTAAAACAACCTCATATGCTATCATTCTGTACTTTGGAGAACACTATACTTGGGAAATCACACATGTCATTGGGATTCTACACCACTTTTCCTGTTTGAAATTTAATCCCTGCTCTATGAAATGTCTGTTTCATGCAGGCCTTGTATGAGCCCCTTTAATGAGGATGCCTTAATATAGTGGTAATTTCAATTAATCATTAGCTTATATAAAAAAAAATAGTGGAGACCAGAAACATCTTACAATATAGAGTATTATTAAAAAGTTCTAAAAAAAAATCTAATATAACTAAACTCCTTATCAAGTGTTCTTTAAAACTACCAAGAGACTCAGTCCAGAGAACACCTGATCTTCAGGCTGCTACATGTCAAATATCTCTATTAGTGTATAGCATTGCTGTGATTAAAAAGTGACATCTTTTAGGTTCATTTATTTGGACAAATAATGAATACCAAGAAAAACAATGTAACCCCCAATAAACAGTCTCAACTAGAATTCTTAACACCTAAGTAATTTTAGCTTAGATAAAAAGGCCTGTTTTTATAGGGCACTGGCTAATTTATAGGGTACATTGAGAATAAGGTAATACTGAGAATCAAGAATCAATCATATCTATAGAAAAGGCTCATGCTTAAACTAGGACTCAGAATTCCAAAATAATTATATCAAGTTTCATTTCTAGAGTATAAAAACATGATAGGAAATACAGACTCTAAAGAACATTAATCTGTATTTTGGAAATAAAGATATAAAGGTATGCCTGGCACACAGCATCCACTCTATGTCATTGTTGGCAGTCAAATTCATTTGTCCACACAACCCAATGGATACAAAAGAAATAAGCTAAAAAAGAGGATTCAAATGTTCAGTTGATAAAGAGATTCATAGAATACTTAAGTCCTTGATATTATTACATTTGTGCAGCAAAATAAAAATTCTAGAGGATGAAAGGCACCGAAGAGAGTTAAAACTCCCTGAATGTCCAGCTACTGGCACATACCACTGATGCTGCCCTTCAGAATGATACTCTAGTCAATGCTGGACTAGGTGTGATACTGGAAAAGAGGGTATCATAATCCAAAATGAAATGATGCAGAAAAGCATTTCTACTATAAACATGCAGCACTGGCAGGAGGGACCTCAGTGCCATTTGCACCTGAGGAAACTACAGCCACAACTGGGTTGAGACTTGCCCACACTCCCACAAGGAGCTGGTTAATTCTCAGGCTGGAACTAGAACCCACTCCCAACCCACTGCTTCTACCTCCCTTTTAGTTCCAAAATTCACTATACACATCTGTTGTTCTAACAGCTTCCTCCAAAGAGAACTGGCGGTCAAGCTCAGATTTGCCTGAGGAGGAGGCAAGGGGCAGCGACCTGGTCCCTAATGTCCCCTCTCCCAGAGGCAGTCCACATGGACTGCAGCCCTCTCCCACCTCTCCCAGAGCAGGAGAGCATGTTAAAGAGGTAGCAGCCAGCGGGCTTCCCAGCACCAAAATACGAAACAGGAGAAATGCGCTCCCCCAGCAGAGCTGTAACCACAGAGCAGTAGCTCCCAGGGGGCAGGGTCAGGCCAATGAGACATGCAATCAATCAAAAAAGCAGGTCTACATCCAGATCACGGAAGACACGTTGTCACAACACCCCTAATTCACATTAAAATACCTGAGACCCTAAGCTCAGGGTGGTAAGGGTAAAACAGACTTCTGAAGCCTCACTGACTAAAGCTCCCCAGCACATGCTTGCCTCACCCTCCCACAGACCTCTAGGTACCTGGACGGTGGGTGTCTAAGAACCAGAGCGGCTTCCATTCGAGGAGCCTGGGCCTTTGTTTCTCTTAATCAGGTTTTCAAACGTTATGGTAATGACAGAGACAATCACTCTGTTGGCCTTTACCTGCCCACCACCTCACAAACCAGTTTTCATTCAAGATACAAAAAACACTTACATTCTCTCAGTTTTGCTTTCCACACAATTTCCTCAGAATCCATTTCAACCAAAAGTAATTTAAATTCCACGGGTTGCTCCAAATACACTTCAATATAACTTTTCAATTTCAAAAGTGAGCCATCAACAAATTCAATTTCCTTTAAAAAAAAGTGATATTATAAACAATTTAAAAGTTGGATTAATTGACAACAGAAAATGTCAAATAAGGAACAACAGAAGGACTCATGCTTGCTTGACTGCTCACTGCAAGCCTGACCTTGGGCATCCCACTCCTTAATCACCCTGGCTTTTGTCCCTCTTTATTGGGACAAACCTCTTAACCTCCTGGCTTTGGTCCCTCTTTATTGCAATCTCCTTTCCTACTCGCTTTGCGGCTGCCAGTACCTTGGCCCTGTTTTTCTAAGCATAACTTTTCATCCCTTTCTGACTTCAATGATTCATGCTCCCATACCGGAACAAGCTCTCACTCATCAACCACCCTTTCATTAGTGCTTTTAAATGTCCTCACCATCTCTTGCTTAGATTGTTCTACAACCCGAAATTGAGTCAACAATGCTTACAGAACTACACCAAATGTTTAAGCCACATTCTCTCATCAGATAAATGCCACCTTCCCCCAACAAGTCCTTTGCCTGCTGTGGATAAAGAATCTCGGAGAAGCTGATTAACATGCCCAATAAATGGATGGTCCTGACCTGCCCTCTCTCTTTCCATCCCAGATCACTAGTATACTCCTCACACGCTTCAGTAGGTCAGCCCAGGTAACGCCCTCGGTTGGCCCCACTCTTCCCAAAGCCCTCTGCGGTCTCGTTTCCCTGAAGCTACCTGGGGCCTGGAGCCCAGCTGTGCGTTCCCATCACCTTCCTGAGGCACCTGCACCACCCTCTTCCAGGAGAGTTCGTCTCTGCTCCTGAATCGTCTCCTCAAACCCAGAACAAACTCCTCACTGTGTGGGAAGCCTCCTTGGAAACCCACAGCACTTTGCACCATCTCTGTGGTAACACCACACCGCATTAGAATCATTTATTTACATGAGTGTAGTATTTCTCTCTCTACACTGGCATCATTTGTGTGAAAAGATCATGACTGACTCATTTTTAATTCTTAGCTCTTATCCCAGGTTGACCTGTGATTGGTACTTTTGATAAATGTCAGTTAAACAAATCATTAATTGTATGTAACTAATAAGAATGCCTTATTTACACAGTTTTACAACTCTCCAAGAGCCCCAAAACCTTTACTTTATGTGATCCTTAGAGCAATCCTGGAAGATTATCCACATTTTATAGGCCAGAAGTTTGGTTAAGAGACAGCATACAACTGGTAACACAACTAAATTATTTAAAGCCCTCCAGCCATCAGTATTTGTAACAAAGAATGCTTGGGGCCATCTAGGTCTCCTCCTGGGTGGGTTCACCCATTTGATATGTATTATTCCCTCTCCTAGTGGTTCTTACTCCTGGCAGCACATTCCAGCCACCATTCCCAGCTTTGACGAGCCCCATGCTGAGCCCATTCCCAGACCAGTGAAATCAGTACCTCTGGAGGTGGGACCCAGGCCACAGACTTTTCAGCTCCCAGGGAATTCTGTTATCCAGCAAAGACCAAGAATCACTGTTCTAAGCGAACCCTTCCAATTTAAGTCCACCTCTCCGACAAAGCTACAGTCTGCTTCTGGTGACTGTCTTGAGGTGCCACCGGCCAGGGCTTGATCAACTCAGAAGGGCTGGGAATCAGCCTCTCAGAACCCAGGGGAAAGACGGTGGCATGAAGCACCAAGGACAGAAGGAGCTCGGCGCCTGGCTCGCCCATGGCCAGGGCATGTGACTTGAGCAGAGCCCTGCCTGCTTTGTGCAGTAGTTTCTCCAGCCACATCGCACTAAGGCTCCAGTGACACTGGGTGCAAAGGGACCATTTGAAACTAAAAAGGAAGGTTTGGGAAGGCTGTCTGATTAACCTGATTGCTTCTACAGGGTACAAGGCCCCAGATAATATAATAAAAATAATGCAACATGGACCATTACAATAAGCTCTCTCTCTTGCTTCATATTTTAATATAATGGAATCCAAACATGTTTTCAACTTTTCATAAACTATAAAACAAACAAACAAAAAGAGGTGTATAAAGGAATTTCCAACACAGATGTCTAGGCTAGATAAGCTAGGCATACGTCCAGAGCACAAATGAAAAGAAGTTTTAAAAATAGTGCAGCAATTTTTGAGAAATCAAAAACACTTATAAATGTCATAGTGTTTAAACAGTTTAAAGCTAGTGATAATTTGTTCATGTAACTATTTTTCAAATGCCTTCCTTCCAGTAAGTAAAGCCCAATATCCCTCGTTAGCAAGTCTTTTCCATTAACCTTCAATGCTCTGTGACTTAAACTTAAGGTTTTTATTCCTCTGAAGCTAACATTGTTTGAAGAATTAAATTAAAGATTCAAGAAAATTTTAAATCTTTTTAGGGGAAAGAGATTGGATAATCTATTTTTGCAATAGTTGCAGATTAATCCAGAAATTCAATAGCATCTTTGGAATAAGCTATAAGTTAATCAAAATAATTGCTTTCTTATAAATAAATTTTTAAAAAGAGAACAAAATGCCTTATTTTGAAACCTTCAAACTACCAAAATAATACATCCCTGTTGTTATTCCAACTGGTTTTTAAACTATATACCTCTGGGGTAATTTCAGCTTCTGGCTCACTGATCAGTCTGTATTTCTTCCCGCTCTGTAATAACTTGTGGCAAACAGGAGGCTTGTCGATTTTCATGAATTTCTTAGAGGAGTGCTTCACAGACTTGGAAATATCCTAAAGGTGGAAATAGGTTTTAGTTTTGAAATTCATCAGCAACAACTGTTAAGAACTGTAAGAGTCCAAGCAGTACACGTGCCAGCCTGTATTAACTTCATCTCCTACTACAAAATGACAGCAATGTAGTAACATCCACAGTGCTCTAAAAAGAAATGCCACAGAGGCTAAGGCGCCAGGCCTCTCTGCACACTTTGAGGCTCTTAGATCTCCAAACATCTTTCTGCAAGAACACAGCAGTCAAAACTGACACATGTCCCTGTGCAGCACCAAAAATTTGCCTCTGAAGGATTTAAAAACGTTAAATTAGCACTAGCAGTAAATATCTATACTAGTTACATTCCCATGCCTGAAGAGAAAGTAACTATTTTACAGTACACAGATCCAGTTTACTAAGAGTTTGTTTCTACCCAGCACTTCGTTATGTTCCCATCCTTATTATCAAAACCATCCATCTGACATGGCCATAGAGGGGACACTGACTTTACATGTATTACTCAAATGTCCCGAAGAGGTTAATGTAACCTTTGACCCAGGCTCACTTATAAAGCAACTGTACAGCTGAACATGAAATTTAGCTTTCCCGAAGGCAAAGTTCAAAGAAATCTTTTCCGACATAAGAAAAAAAAAATCAACCAAAGAAGAAGGGTGTAAAAAAATAAAACATCAGCCAGGAAGGACATCCTGCCTAAGCACTCCCATTGTTTTAGTGGCATATCCTCTACATGTGCTGACAGTCAGCTTCTTACACCAGCTTCCAGGAAGTGTGAATAATGCCCTTTCAGTTAACTCAATTTACTGTTTAAAAATATAAAGTCCATATTTGATGAACTTAATATTTGGAATTGTACTTATTCCAAATCCAGGCTAATGCTACTTCAGATGGGATTATTTTTATACCATTTTGAAGACTAGTTTCCCTACTGCAAGTATCGACTTAAATGAGATTACAAGAAGCACAGTTTACCTTCTTAGGAAGAAATTAAAACCTATTACTTAATAAAGTTCTTAAACTTTAATACACATTGCTAATTATAATCAATATAACTTTATTTTTAAAGCCATGGAAATAAATTAGAACTAGTACACTGGAAGTAGCTACTTTAATGTAAAATCTGTAACTCAAACTATACCTCATCAATTAGTACACTTCAACATCTAATGCTTATTTTTTAAATTTATGTCAAACCCTGACTTCAAATCTGAAAGTGCAATTTTGGTCACTATTTATCTGTCTGCTTTATTTCAGTTTTCCATCCACCTCTAAGTCATTACAACTATTCTGACAGTGGCTAAAGGTATGAAAGGAGATTCAGTTATCACTATTCTAATTTATACAGGGCTTCAGAAAATGGGCGTAAATATCACAGCCTTGTTCTGTGTTCTGGAAAACTGGTTCCACTCATGAAGTCAAACCCCCACCCCTCAGGCCATGCTGCCTTAAACACAGTAGGTGTTTCATGAAGATTTGCTGCTACAAATCTTAGAATGTTGAATCCTTGAACCACAGGTCAACTTTTATCCAAAAAATTGCTCTGAAATGAGTTAACCTGGGAGTTCCATTTTATTTGAGGAGCTTTCGGCCAAGGAGAAATCTCAGGTCACTCTACACTTGACTCGAAGACCTCAAATGGCCCCCCAGTGTATCCAGAGCAGATGCTTCTCCATCTCCAAAGTGCATCAGCATCCCCGGGGGGCTCACCTAGTGCAGGCTCTGATTTGTAGGTCGGGGGCAGGGCTGAGATTTCCCATGTTAACAAGCTCCCTGTGATGTCGATGCTCCTGGCCCCTTGTTCCCAGATCAGATTTTGAGTGGCAAGGATATAAAAACTAGATGGCCTAGGCTGTATGTACATCAGGCAACCGCCTCCAAGGCCAGACCTGCTTCCCTGGGCCATCCACACCCCTGAAGAGCTATTTCACCATCTGTTATCTTCTTGACACTGTTTACATGTATAAACAACTGTACTCCATGAATCTGAGGACCTGGCACACCTAGGCACTGATTTTATAACCTCTGCAGGTTAAGTGCCAAATTAGGCCCATGTGGGGGGATACTTAAACCAACAGGAAGAGGACCCAACTAAATGGGACGTCATGTTTGAACATAAAATATTCAGCACTTATTGTTTATTTTCATTGACTTTACCTTGATGAAGGACTCATTATTAGTTGCCACATATACTCTAAAAGACAAGGATGGATTATGGTCAACGGCCTTGTATAGAATCACAGCCCCGTGGTGCTGTACGGTTTCCTCACTTTGAATGACAGGTCCCACAGGAGAAAGAGAGCTGACATGCCATTTGACATGGGTTGCAGAATGATCCACAGTAGATTCTAATGCAGCCCCGGTATTTTTAACATGTAAGACTTTGAATGTCATATTAGCATCGTGGTCTGTTAAAATATGAAGGTAAATTAGTATTCCAGGTGCATACACACATGCACACCCTAATTAAACGTCTAGTGAACAGTACTTACGACCCAAGCAGAGGGAATGTGGAAACTGAATGGAGGTAAGACAGGTTGGGTCACATTTAACATCAAACAAGGGTCCACCGACAACCCAGGGCTTAACAACCAGGTCTGCATATTTGCTCCAGGACAAAACGCAATACTTGATGTCAACTTTTCTGTTAACCTCAAATATCAGACCAGTTTCCGTGCACTGGTAAATTCCCTCGGTGTCCACCTTCAGTCTGCAGTGGGCAGATAAGAACACCCATTTAGTCCTAACGTCTGGTTAGGAGGATTTCTTAAAATTATTTATGTTAATTTCATTCAAAAGCACTAGGGAACTCCATTGCATTTGGAAGAAGCATCATTATCAAAGAAAACAATCCAACTAATTACATAAAATGTGTGCAATTAGTTTGCTGTTTTGCATTTCCTACTTGGGGTTATTTTTATGTAGAAGATTAAATTACTGATGATATTAAGTCTTCTGTATTCATAATTACTTACAAAAACTGGCCCCGGGAAAGGAGCCTGGGGGTCACTTGTTCATTGTGTTTCTGGAGAAAAAGTACATACATAAGTAAAAAATAAGTAAATGTTGTTCTCTTAAATAAAGGAAATTAGAGAATCACATTTTACAAGTAAAAGATACTTACATTTTCAGCATTACAGTGTTCACAGTAAGGTTGGATTTTATTGAATTCTAAATGATAAAGAAAAAGTTTTGCTTATATGAATGTGCTTGGCATTTTCAAATAAAAATTTTAATAAATATACATAATATGCCCAGATTATAAAATTCAAAGATACATGCCCCTAAGCAATAATGATATTTAGAAGAATATTTTGGAAGATGTAAGTTTATACCTGAATTAAAATGATCTGTGGGCAGATCTTTATCCTCCCATCCTTCAGCTGTAAAACATCATCACACTTGTATTGACATCAGTCAGTCACAGAATAAATCATGCACTGCCTAACACCCACTTTCAGCTTCACAACCAACAGGAACTTTAAACATATATTTAAACATCTCTATAGTCGATTCAATGACATGTGACATGTCGTCATATCTGTGAATCCCACTGTAAGGTCTAATACATGAAAATAAGCTTGACTGTGACAAGTTTCAATGCACCCCATTTTGTCACACAGTCTTCGTCCGATCCTTTTACATGGCAGCAACAGCTCTGTCCTCATACTTCAAACCTGATCCCCCACATCCTCCTCTCACACCACAGGAAAGGAGAGAGCAGGATCAGTTAGAGAAAACAAGAGGGCAAGTGCCTTGCCTCCCTCTTACCCTGAGCAGAAGCTTCTTCGGGGGAAGACTCTCCTGGCTCGTCATCTGTGGAGACAAGAAGGGTTTAGGGCAAGGGGGGTGGGCCATGAACAAACTTCATTAGTTACTCCTCTCCTAGGCCAGCATCTCACCTGGAGAGCTGCAGGAATAGGAAACGAAGCTGCACCCATTATCCCCAAGATAATGCTTGGCTGGCAGCAGCTCAAGCTGCTGTAGGATTAGAGAGAGATTATCTTGAGGTAAGAAAGGAATTACATCTGATGTTAGGCATATTTATGGAACTACTATACAAGTCTCTGACGTAGCAGGCCAACTCCTTCCCTGTGGCACCCACTGACCCCTCTCCCCTGTGTGAGCTGGCTCCCCCTTCCTCACCTCCTATCAACCCCCCACACTCACTCCCTGCCATTTCTCCACACAAAGCACACTCCTGACTCAGGGCCTCTGCATTTACTGTCTCCTCCCACAAAAATTCATGTTGCTCACTCCCTCACCTCCTTGCAGTCGCCGCTTATATGCCCCTGTGGTCTCTGCTCAATGCCGCCTTACCCAAGAGGCTTTCCTGATGACTCCACCCCCAAACAGGTCCTGCCTAACATACTCACTCTTCCCCCTTCATTTTCCTACAGGGTACCCCCATCCCCCGACCTGGCACACCATACACGTTAGCGTTTCTGCCTCCTGTCCCTCTCCCCAGGAGGATACAAGCTTCACGGGGACTGTCCCTGGGCCTGGTAAATGCTCAATGACTATTTTCTGAATGACTAGAATTCCATAACACAAAAATGCATTATGAAAGGCAACACAACAGATTTTCCTATTATCTGCACTGGCCACTAGCTGCGTAAGTTTGGGCTCTAGTCATGGAAGCCGCTAGGTCTCTCAGTACCTCACTATCCTCAGCTGTAAAATTGGATTAGAATAATACCAGCCCCACAAAGTTAGGAACATTAAATTACTCGTAGGGTCTATGCCTGGCACTCAGCAAGCACCCGGCGAATGTTAGCTAACTGTTATTAACTATTATTTTGCTTTGTGGGACTCATTAAAAAATTCAAGAATTCCAAGGTGACAATGACCCCGTCACTTAGGGGTAAGACCCAATGTGTCAAATGCTTGGTTTTACATTTTAAAGGTCTGAACATCCTTTGGGAGAGTCACCCCAGAGGTGAGACAGGCATCCCTCCCTCCCTCACAGGTGCAAGACCCTACGCCAGCACCAAGGCCCAGGAGATGCAGGCACAGCCCCAGGACAGTGCTCCGGCCCGGGCCACAGGAACTGCCCGGTCGGTCAGGCTATAGGGAGCCCAGGGCACCAGGGGCTGCAAGACAGAACCAGCTTTAAAAAAGAGCATTAAGATGACATGGCTAATGGAGACTGAAAACATGCAGAATCCTACACAGAGCACTGCAGACCTGCAGGTTCTGAGCTGCCACCCCAAGTACTGCACCACATGCCCTACGCCATTTCCTCAGCTGCTGTCCTACACAAGATCGTGAAATTTTAAATTACTTATTGGCTATGCATCTACATGGCATTTCATCCACATCCCATGTTTTCTGTCTTGCTATTTGCCGTGGCAGCACAGAAAGGGAAAGAAGTTAGAGAATCCTAAGCAACCAGCCAACGCAGTGTCTTTAACCAGGTCTTTCCAACCAAAGCACAGGAATTGATACAATTCTCCCCAATTCATAAACCAAAGTTTCTCTTCAATCTATGTGACACAGGTGGCCTCCAAGCTCATGCCTGTGAGAGGAAGGCACGTCCAGTCACAGGGACGCTGGGCCAGTCTGCACCACCAGCTGGACCACAGAGGCGCGGGCATCCCAGCGTGGCCCAACTGAGCCTCCCACTGACCTGAGAAGAGAGGCCAATGGGAGGGCGCCACTCCAATCTCTTCTCCCACGTGGAGAATAAAAGGCCTTATAACAAAGAGGCTAAGTTTAGGGGAAGGCAGAGCCCCTTGGATGGACCTGGGGCAGCCAGGCTAAGCATCCTCAGCTCACCCACAGAAGATGCCAGAGCATCTTCACTACCAGAGAACGTTCCGAGTGTGTAATCCAGCCAGAGCTGGAGCCAGCCACTCTCTGGCCCACACAGGCCTTGCACCGACCCCAGCCCTCAGCCCAACCTTGAGCCTACCTTGAGCCTTACTAACTCCAAGTGCCTCCCACCTGAGTTGCTTGCCTCAGTGAGGCCCTGGCCCAGGCCTGGCTTCTGGACTGTGTCCCCATGGCCTTTACCCAGTTATTTGCCAGGGACAACATCAAACACCTGATCCCAGTACACAGTTTTCTAATTTCATTTCTATCTTAGTTCAGTCTATGGAGGCAAGACTTTTGACTACATTCTGAAGGCTGAAACAATCCATAATGCATAAAAAGGATTGGGAGTAGGAGGGCTGGCACATACTGTTTCCTTATGGGTGTCAGAATGTAACATCTACTCCGTAAGAGTGATGTAATTACAGATTCTTATCAATACATTACACATCGGCAAGGAGCCTACAATTACCTTCACAGGTTCTCCATCAGGAAACTGCAGAGAGAATTACATTAAATACAGAAGGACTCTGAGTGAAGAGATTTCATTTATATTAAAGTATTACAAAGGAGCCCTGGGACTGCTCTGCTACAGTATTTGTGTTGACAGGCAGATATACTCTAAGAACTGGGGGAAAAAATCCTACAGTAAAATAAGTTAAAACATAAGCTTAGTCACTCACAAAACTTTTGACAAAAACCCTATTTTATATTTAGAAGCTATGTCCATAAAGTGGTTTCAGACTCAAGTTGCTCATAAATAGCAACAGCAAGCCAGAAACTTCAAACCACAAAATGGTACATTTTCAGTATCAAATAATTTGCTCTGCAATAATCTGTGAGCAGTGACCACCACAGAAGGAAGTCAAGGCCGCTTGCGGCTACACTGCAGATTAGAGGCAGCCTCCCAATCTCGTCTCCTTGGGGAGACTGGACAGGCAGAACTGCACATACAGAGTCTTGGCATCAAGGCAGATAAAGCACACATTTCTTGTATGCCAAATGGAGTGAGCTCAAATTTTCAAAGTGCTTAGAAGTTTCCTAATGTTTAACTCAATTTTGCACAGAAAAAGATCACGAACAAGCACCTTGCAACTTAAAAATCCCAAAGACTTCCCTTCCCTCTCTTCCTTTCAATGACAACAACAAAAGTTAGAAGAAGAATATACTCACTTGTTTTTTCTGGTTTTGGCTCCCCATTATCTACCAAAAAAATAAAAAGGCTAAGTCAGATTCAGATGACGACTTACGAAAACACAGGCTAATTGGAGAATAGGTAAATGTTTGCCTTTCACCAATAGCAACCATTTCCTGCCTTTCTTCTTCAGCTCATCCGGTTCTGCTACTTTGCCTGCCAGCTAGAAATTATTTAACATGTAAGTACTTTTTCAGTACTTTACAAAACCACCCTAATAATTAATATGTCCTCAAGCAATATATAGGATATGTGCATTATTTTAAAATAAAAATAAAGGCTCATGCCAGAATTCAGTAATTAAAGAAACACATATATTACTTACCAGATTCACTTTCAGAACTGCTCTCAGAAATGCTATCATCTCCTAAATAAAAACATATGCCAGAAGTACACACTGAGTAAGAAGTAGGAACTATTTGTTTCAACTAAACATATTATAAAATAGATCCAAACTCAACAAATTTCTTCTTTAAATCAATTCTCACTGAGTCCAAAGCTGGTCTGGTTCATATAAAAGGAGGTTTATCCTTCCTTGCAAATGGATAATATACACCCTAATTGTTTAAATATGAGCTCAAATCATACTTTGGCTTCAGTATTCATGTTATTCAGGTGTCCCCCACATCCTGCCTGGCTTTGACTTGATCACCTGTGCATCTGGGCAGTTCACGGGCACAAGGTCAAGGACACAGCAGCGTAGAACTCCGGAGCATAAATGCCATTTTACTGACAAACTCAGTCCGTATCAGTCAACTACTTCAGAAAGCACGGTCCCCAAGAATGCTCCCTCTGCTTCCTCACCCCCATTCAGTGCCTGGGCCCACTGCAATCAGGCTTCTGTTCCCACAACTCACCCACACTCCCTTCCCTAAGGCCCCCAGAGGCCCACTAACCCCCAGAAAACGTCTCCCAATCTCCCAACCACTTCCTCCGGCCCGCATGGCCCTCCTGCGGCATCTGGCCCACATGGTGCCGGTTCTCCCCTTACCGCCCTGGGTGTCCTCCTCTTGCCTTGCAGCAGCTCTCCACCATCCCGTCCTCGGTCACTAACCTCTCCCCACTCCCAGCCTCCTTTCCGTCCGGAGGGCCCTCACAGCACCTTTTACTCTCATGTACATGCATTTGACTCTCATTTTACACACCTCACTCTCCACTCGGGCTTGGGGTTCAGGGGTAAATACATGGAAAGCCATTAGCATTATTCTCCCATCTTCCCTCCCTACCTCCAGACCCATGGGCTGGCAATAGTTACATGAAGGAAGGAAAAGATTGAGAATAATGATGAGAACAATATAATAGCAACTAACAGCTGTTTTTGAGTGGTCACTATGTGCCAGACACTTTATATGTATATTTACTCATTTATATTTATTTACTCATTTTGCATATATGTATACTTTATATTATTATGGAAGTGCTTTTCATATACTTACACATTAATCCTCACAGTGGTCCGATGAAGTAAGCTAAGGCCAGTCAACCTACTGAGGCAAGACTCCCACCCACCACTCCCCCTGGGAAGTCTGGAGACCAGATTTCAACTCAGGCAGTCTGGGTGAACTTTTGCACTCTTAATCATGTTGTCACACTTACAAACATGCTTGTTACTGTTTCAGCAGGTCAACCCCCAGGAGCTGGCGACTGACTGGGTGTCAGGGGAGAGTGGGAGTAGAAGGCAGGTTCCTGCACCAAAGGATGCCTGAGTGGAGGGGCAGGCAGTGGGCAAGGAGGGACAGGCGCCAGGAAATCAAGGTGAGGAGACATGGCCTTGGTCCTCCAGGGCTGGAAGCAAGGCGGTGGTTCTCAACCTTGGCTACCCACTGGACGCACCTGGGGAGCTTTCTAAATACACCCAAGCCTAGGACTCTGCCCTTCCTCAGAGGTTCTGATTTAACTGGGCTGGGGTGGGGCTTGAATAGCGGTATTGTTTGAAAGGAACCCAGATGACTGCAATGTGCGGCCAGGGTCAAAGCACTGGACTAGAATGAACCTATCTTAATCACTTCCCCGTTCCCCAAACGTGTACTCCAGGAGGACTGCCAAGCCTTCCTTCCAGCCTACAGCTGCCTCGCCACTGCCTGGAGATCCTTTCCCCAGCCCCACATCCAGAACACCCGCGTTCTCCAGAACTCCTTTAAATCCCAGCACGACTGTCACTCCTGCGAAAGCCTCCCTCCACCACAGTCAGCCTTGCCACCTTTGTGACCCCTCCTGAGCATTCATCCTGCTACCAAACAAGGCGGCTGCCTGGGAAGCTGTGGACTGTGAGCCCTGAGGACGGGGGCCATGTCTCATCATCTCAATTCCCAGCACCCACACCTAAGAGACACTCAATGAGCAAATGAATGCACTGCCCAGCTTCAGACCACCAAACCGAGCAAGACGAGCCTTGTAAATTCCCCTGTCAATGCAAACAGCCACCTACCAATCTGGAATGGCGCGCCTCCTTCCTCTGTCTCTCTCTGCCCTTCAGGTAAGGTGGCCAGTTTGCCAGCCAACAGATGGTGAATGCAGGAATGTAAGAAAGTGCCTGCAGCCAATAAATAAAACAAAGAATCATTTTCTAAAACTGTTAACGTTTCATACAGTACAAGTTTTTCAATAACAACATTGAGTTAGAGTACCATACCTTTTTCTCCTGGACAGGCATTGTAATCATCGCTAAAACAAGAAAAGAGAAACAGTTTTAAAAGCTGATACTAATTTTATAGAAAATAATTACAGAAAATCTTCAAAATGATCATTATATATATTACATGTCTCCAGAAATGTTGCAGACTAGAGAACTCTCTCCCTCCCAATAGTCCTGCTGCCCATCTCACTCTCCACCTGTTGCCTGACTCCTTGTCCTGCCACACCCCCAGGGTCACCACCACACCTTCCCAAGCTCACACACTGCCAGGTCCGCTCCCAGCCACCTGGCCTTCTGCTGTCATGGCCCCAGTCCTATAATCCTGATCACCCCCAGGCCCTCCCTCGGGCCCCCTCCTCCCAGGCCTGCTGCTCTGCTTCTCTGCCATCTCCCTCACAGCATGCCTGGGAAACAAAGGCCTCAGATAGCGCCCATTTTAACTAAAAGGCCCCTTCCTGGACTTCATGTTCCACCCTCACTGCCTGAATGCTCCCTGCCAGGCTCACAAGTAACTCACAATCTCTGCCCTAGACTCAAAACCATCTGGCTTCTGCTCTCCTACGTTACCAACACTGCCCTAGCTAGAGCCACCGATGACTCCTGTCCCATAGGCCAGTGGGCCCTTGGTTCTCAGTGACCTCTCTCATTAGATGAAGCAGGGGACAGCCTTCTCCCAGCTCCCCATCACAGTGACCTCTCCTCTCTGGGTGCTCCATCTCCGGCTCCCTCTCCTCCAGCCTCCTGGGGCTGGCCTGAAGGAATCACATATGTGCCCTTCCCTTCCCACGCCCCACATGGCCTCAGGGCTCACCTCCCTCCATGCCAAGGCTTCAGACCCTAAATCCTTACTGCCTTCCCAGTCACTTCAGCACTTCAAATTGAATACAGTCAGCACTTAACTAATCGCTGCTTTCCCTCTCTATGAATACCTGCTCCCCTGATCTGCCCTTGCAGAGTCACACCTGGTACCTGAGGTCATCACCAGCTCCTGCTCCCTGTTCCTTATCAAGCAGCCAATCCAAGTCGTCCTAAGCCTCCTTCTGCACCTCTTGCCAATATGTCCCCTCCTCTACAGACCCTGCTCCTGCCTCAGGCTCTCTCCCAGCTCTCGCCTCTATAGTTGGTTATCATATCCTCATCATTATCATACTTTCCTGCAATCTCACTCTTGGCCCATCCCTCCTGTGACCATCAGCAGGGACTAGTCATGTGGCTTCTCACTGCTCCTGGCTGTAGCCTAAGTTCCTTGACATGGCAAGCAAGGACCTGCACCCTTGCTTTCCACCCTGCATGCTCCCCCAGAGTGAAAGATCTTCAGTGTCCCAAACACACCCTGCATATCACACGCTCACACACACACCACTCTCTGTGCCCCCAACACACAGGGCCGCTGCCTGTGGCCTTGAGGTCATGCAACCCCAGCTCTGGGTGCTCCCAGGACATGTATTCTGATGTGTGGGCCCTCCCTGGAGTTATGCATGCATGTAAATGACAGTTCTGTCCTCCCCCTTGATGCCCAAACTCCTATTCATCCTTTAAGAACAGCCTTTCTCAGCTTGTGGTCTGAGGACCATTAGAACTATATAGGGTGCCTCTAAAAGCAGTTTTTCTGGGCCCAATAAATCAGAATCTCTGGCAAATAAATGAAAAGGCAGAAAGTAAACAACAGTGGCGTTATTTGCACTTACCAGGTGTTTAAATTGTTCTGTAGTTTCTCATTTAATCATCCCAATAAGCCTGCAGGCTCAGAGAGGTTAATTAACTTCCTCAAGGTCACACAGCTAACAAATAGAAAAGGAAGCACTTGACCCTAGGTCATTATGACTTCAAAGCCCAAGTACTGACTTCATACCATTCTTCCCTCACTCCCCACCACTCTACTCACAGACCCGAACCCTAGAAGTAAACAGAGGAAGAAAACAGAAACAACAGCAAGCCACCCGCTTGCCCTTTCCCTTCTCTTCTTCACCCAAACCCATCAGGGCTCCCAGACTTTGTAAACCTCCTTGCCTCAAGTTTTTATACTGGTACACCTTCCCAAGTATTTGGTGTTTCCCAAGCTCCATGATTCTGAGATATACATGGCATTCTCATTTTCAGACCTAAATCCTCTTGTTTTTTAATCCTAAACTGCTCAAATGTCAAGGAACAGTGGTGAGCCTGAGACTGAGAAAAGCTCCAGGAAACTAAGAAAAGGCTAAACTAAGGTTCTCAATAAAACACATAAAAGAACAACCATCCATTACATTTTTTGCTCTAGATGCATACTTCCTGTACTGGAATCACTATGCCTTTTAATTTTAAAATAATTATGAGAACATGTAGTAGAGTTAGTCATTCGTACTGGACAAAATATGTCTGCTTAAAACACACTTCTGTGTCCTCAATGACAAAACTGCATTGTTTCTCTTAACCAGCACTTTTACATGTCCTTTTCTATAGCTGCTTACTTCTATTTCCAGACATCAGACGTGTATACATCTGCTTAGATATTAGAAATTCTGCTAAAACCCAGAAAAACCTCTAAACCCTTTATTGTCTCCATGAAGTAGGAGAGATCACTGAAGCCTGGGGTAGAGAGCCAGTTCTCTGCACAGCAACCCCAACAGCTGAGGGGAATGGGGTCCACAGGCAACCTCCTGTGTGCAGCGTGGTGGAGGAAGCAGACCCCAGCGTACCCACAGGGCCTTGCCACACCACGGATGCTACTTCCCACATTCTCCTTTTCCATGTGGACTGTTACAAAGTAAAACCGCAGCACCCATTCCAGGGTTCTCACTGTAACAGGGACTGAAGATATGTAGGGAAGGGACGAGTGGATGTATACTTACTAGCACTTACACCTCCTGAAATTTTAATCTGGACTCAATCATTATTGCTAAGTATAATTTTATTGCAGTTCCAACATCAACATCAAATATAAATGCTGCCTCACGCCTATCAGCTTCCAGGCCCCAATTTATTATAGGCCTTTTTCCCCTGGCAGGGGAGAAGGGGATTAGAAACCTGCATCTTGGCACAGTAAAACCTCTGGGCTGCTACAGGACTGAAGAACAGGCTTAAGACTCGAAGGTGTAATATTAAATGAGGGCATTTATTGCATGCTTTTTGGGAGCAGATTATATCAAAATGTGCAAATGAGTAAACCCAACTGTTGTAATTAAATCATGACTACAGGAAAATGAAACCGGAGAGCCACCCCAAACCCTCATGTAGGCACAGCACCTCAGAGCTTCCAAAGTGCTCTCAAACCCCCAGAGCACCAGCTCCCTGCAGGAACCCCCAGGAACACAGGACAAGGATGGCCATCGCCATGTGCCCGGGAGGACACTGCAGCTCAGAGGTGTTGAGTCACTCAGCCAAAAGCAGAGAAGCTGGTGAAGGGGAGAATGAGGATTCGGAAACTCCCACCTCTGAAGGGGCCTTCTCAGAGCTCTGGCCTGGACTTCATGTAGCCTGGGCGGGTAGATATTAAGCATCAGAACGATTTCACCTGAATTTGACACAGTAATTCTCCAGTTGAAGATTTTTAACAATTCTTTAAAAATATAAAACTGTAATACAATAATAGCTAATATTTATTAAATGCTTACTGCATTCTGGAAACTAAGCCAAGGACTTGGCATGCATCAATTAGCTCATTTAATCACCGCAGCAACCTTTTAAACACCTGACACTGAACTATTATTATTCGCACTTTACAGATGAGGAAATAATCCTCAGAGATCTTCCATAACTTATCCAAGACCCCTGGTCCACCTGACCGAAGCACCAAGCTTTTATCAGTACATTTTACCCCAAAAAGCCTAAAATTCTGCCAAGCAGATCAAGAAAAGCCCCAGACCAGTTTCTTCCTCCCAACTGTCCAGCTGCCTGTGTAGGTAATTCTCAACTATAGGGAAACAAAAGTAGTAAGCATAATTAAATCCATAACAAATCCCAAATTCTCCTCTAAGTAACTTTTCACCAGAAATAAACCAAGCAGTGTTTTACTTCTGTTAGCCTCTATCAACCTTCCAGGAAACAGGTCATAAGTAAATGGGTTAAAGAAAGTGGAAAAGAGTTTGTTAGTCACGAATCTGCATAATCACATAATAGCTATGCTGCCAGAGCATAATACCAACGGAAGTAATATTCTCTGTGATACAGACCTCTTTCTCAACAACTCGAATAACACACACCTCACTGTTTACATCACTGGTCCTGTGCTAGGCAGAGGGGATATGAAAGTAACGGACAAAAGTAACATATGACACATGAAACCTGTCCCCAAGGGCACAGAAGGAGGAAGGAGACAGAAAATTACATATATATGATGCAGAAAGAGCAGAGTAAAAACAAACATAAATTCTAGTGTTTACCCAGGGTAGGCGATGATGATCTGGGAAGAACTGAGCTCTTCCACTAAGAACACAGGCATATGACTAACTAGAAGGCCAGTGAAACCACGACGCGGTGGCCGTCTTTGATTGTCAAAGGGCACTCACTACCTCCCCCAGAACAGGATCCTCTAGCTGTTACTCAGAAAAAAAACGAAAATGAAAGGAACCGGCAACATCTTCGAGTCTGACGCATTATTTTACAGAGGGGGAGATGGGGACTCCAGCAGAGGTTAAGCGATAAGCAACCAACACGACTCAGCAAGTTACAAGCAGAGACGGTCTTACACCTGGTCTCAGGCCTCGTGGCTTAACTCTTCAATTCACACTTGACAAACATAGATGGATTACGTACTACCCACCAGTAAAACACAGCAACGGGGGCTGTGCCTCTGAGAACCCATCGGCCAGACAGGAAAGGCTGTCTTCCTGCAACTGGGACTGGAAGTGCCTTGAGAGAATGACAAGAGAGGCCAGGACTGAGGAACTGCAGAGGGCTTCCTGGGGCAAGTGACATTTAAGCTGAGCCACAAAAGCCAAGCAGGAATGGACAAGAGAGGAAGAATCAGTATGTGTTGGGGAATCGGGGGGATGTGTCTGAGGCAGGAAGGAGTTGATCAAGATCTAGGAACGGAAGGAAAGAAAGTGTGGGGGAGAGACACAGGAGATGAAGGTCAGAGGGGTGAAGAAACCCTAACTCTGTAACCCAACTGATGGCAGGCACCAGGATGCTGGGCAGCAATCATTCCGTCTGTGGAGGGGTCGCTGTATTTCCACCTTGGGAAGATTCAAAACTTGACAGCAGAGGAGGAAGTTAATAGTGCAGGGTCCCAGAAGCCGCTGTCTTCAGTATCTTCTGTGGGGATTGCCTGACCCCAAGTGACCCCCTGACAACCTGCAGGTTCAGACACTGCCTGTGTTGAGTACAGAGGGCCCAAGCATTTCCCCAAACGAAACCTCAGTCCCGCAGGCCACAGAAGACAGTGTACCCTGCCCAGAAAGTGACAAAAACTTCTGAGGGTAGGTAACTTTAAAGCATACTCCAGGGAACTGCCTCCATTCAGCACTGAGCCCTAGAAGCCAATACCAGAGCCCCCTCCATACCAGCCAGGGAGGAAGGACCTCCTTGGTGCCAAGACCTCTGGGACCAGGCCCTGGCGGATGGATCAGGAACTCTACAAGGGGAAAGGGGCAGGGACCTGGAAGGTAGAGGGGAGAGGAGGGCACACTTAGCAGCCAGCTATCAATGCCCCAGGGGAAACTTCATGAGCCAATCTGGTTTCCCATATGACCCAATTTCTTTTCTTCTAAGCACCCCAGGAGATCACTAATCTGCTCACCCATGCTGGAAGCCATCCCATGGCTTTGTTCTTCTATGTCCAGGTCCCTGAGTGACAGCAGTCTTCAATGCTTCCAAAGGTACTTAGCACTGGCCCCTTCACCTACCCTTCTCCCTTTCTTTTTCAGTTAACCAATAGGAAAAACAGTGGTGAAACTGGCAGGTCTTTGGGTATCAAAAGACTAAAGAATTCATTGCACCACTATTTGTCATGGGCAAAAACAAACTACCATGTTCATCAAGAGTAGAGTGGATGAATAAAATACGACACCGTCATATAATAAAATATCATAAGCAATGTGAACAAAAGATGGCTTACGCACAACCACGTGGATCTCACAAACATGATGTTGCACAAAACAAGACACACACAAAAGGGTTACAAAGTTTACAAATAAGAAAAATTAATCTCCATTCCTTTGTGGAGGAGGGATATGATGATGAGCAAGAGGGGTTTTGGGTGGGGGGTGGTTCTCTGTTTTATTTCATGAAAAGGGTGGTGGTTACATAGATGTGTTCATTTTGTGACAATTCATCAAGCTGTCCACTTAAATTGCTTGTGTTTTCTGTATGACTGTACACACACACACACACGAGGGTTTTCAGCATCCTGGAAAAGGAAAAGCAAAGTAGTCCTAACTTCAGCTTTATGGGCCACAGCTGTGAAAGGAGACTGACCATGGCGGGTAGGGGAGCAAGGCAAAGAGGCTGACTGCATTGAAGATAGGGCCTACCAGGCAGCTGGGGGCCGGCAGGAATCAGGGGGAACAGTTTCAGGGTTTACTCCCTTCTTCCTTCTTGTAACTGTCAATGAGATCTCTACACAATTACTCCAAAGGGAAGTGGGCCAGGAGGGAAAAGGGCTAGACCTAGGCTGGCAGGGAGGAGGGAGGCAGCTGGCACATTTCCAGCAGTGAGAGGCCAAGGAGTGGAGGGAGAAGAGGGAAGAGAAAGAAATCCTAATGCCCAGGGTAGGCAAAAAAAGAGGGCTCCCCTGGGCTGGGATGTATGGGAAGGGGGAATTCCCATTAGTCAGCCCAGTAGAAAGGATCCCTTGTCTGCTCTCCTCCCTGAGCCAACAACGCCTGATGTACACCTGGGGCAACAGGTTGCTTGCACTGCTCTGCTGTGCTTTGTTTGCAAGTCGGCATCCCCTGGGAACTAAAGGAGCAAGGGGAGTGCAAATGAGAGAGGGAGAGAGAGCACACAGCACCCAACACACCGTTTGGCATATAATTTGCATTGAAAAAAAAATGTTCTCAAACAAATAAATGAAATAATGTGATGACATAAGACTCTATTCCTCGGTACTTTAAAAAGTCTATAATAAATAATTAAAAATATAAATAAATTGCCAAAAATGGGCAAATGGCTAAGTATCATAGTGGCATGCTGTGCAACTACTAAAAGTGACAAGCAAGAATAGCCAACATCCGCAGGGTGCTTTACAATTTGCTGAGAACTGCACCTCACCCTTGTCTGACAGAATTACATGGACTTTGTTGCCACACTGAAATGTAAAAATGACACATCAGACACAATGTCCATAAAGGGGCCTGAAAAATCAGAGATGGTAGACTAGCAAATTTTCACAGAAAGGGGTAGGAGGACCCTCATCTTAAAGTAATACTAGGAAGGGCCGGTAGTTCTGATCAACCAGCAGTTTAATTAGCTCTGCTTGTGTAAATAACTGTGCTAATTTCACGTATTATATTTAAGTCAATTCCTATCTTGTTTTTTGGGGGATAATTTAATTCTAAGTTCTCTTTAACTGCATTTGCAAGTTTTACTTTTGGGTGAATACCTCTGAAGAAGTGTGTTTGATGTTCATGGTGAACTGAGCTCTTGTCTTAGTCTGGTTTTATTCATGCTCCTAACACCAAGAAATCAAATAGGAAAACCTATCTACACAGACTTTTCTAGGCTTGCACAAGTGTTTTAAAGGAAGAACACAAACAATAATCCCTCTCTTCTCCTTGAGAAGCTGGGCCTAATGTTTAATGATGCATAAAACACAAGTCGTAGACACTTTACATTTGGCATTCTCTTCTTCGTCTAGTTGTTCCTGTAGAAACTTTATTTTGCAGGAGTGACTGTCCTAAAAGTAAATTCTCTTCAGAGCCTTAATCTTTGCTGAGCGTTTAGGCGCTGCTGGGAGGACTTCCTGCAAGCACTAACAGCAGTAAAAGGATTAGCCACAGGATACATTTCCCAACCCACCCATCACGTGTCTTTTGCTGAAGCACGACAACCAATGCTAAAGCCTCCTTTTTGCAGATTACAGTGGGGACCTCTGGGAGAACACGACCGGGACACCCTTACAGCATCCCCAGACCAGCCCTGAATCAACATTACCCTGCAAAAAGCAGCTGCTTTAAAAGGCTATGGGGCGCTGTTGAGAAACAGGCATTAGGGCTCCCTTTAGAGTAACAGCAGAAAGCCTCAAGTAACGCCGATTTCGCGCCTTCTGAATGCAAGACTGCGTCAGTGCTGCAGGCGGGTGAGGGGTAGAAGAGGGCGAGGATTCTCCCCTCAAGGGGAAAGCGGAGGCGTTAAGGGATCTGAACCTGCCCTCGACTCAAACAAGTTGGAAGCTGGGTGGCCAGAACGCCGGCGGTATTCAGAAAAACCGGAGCCCCCGCCGGGAGGAGCCCCCAGTCCTCCGCCAGATGGAGGGAGCCGGGGCTCTGGCTTGCTGACGCCCGAGAGCTGGGGGCAGACAAAGACAGCTGAAGCCTGGCCGCGGGGCAGGGAGTCCACCCGCAGAGTTCGTAAGAGCGGTAGCGCGATTGGCCTTCCGCACCCGCGGGCTGCCCGCAGCCGCCGCTACCAGGAGGATGTGAACAAATCGGGCCCACCTGCAGACACCGCGTCTCCCACGCGCGCTCCCCGGGTTGCACAGCGGCGGCGGCCGCAGGGGGCAGCAGCGCAGCCTCTAGGCCCCGCCTCCGGCCCGGGCGCACGGGACCTCCCCCCTTTGCGCGCCGCCGCCTCCCGCGCGGGCACCTGCGCGCGACCCCGGCGCCCCCCGCCCTCCGCAGGTGCTGTGGTCCCGGCCCCCGGCTGGGGATATGGCGTGGGAGTCGGGCGTGCGAGGGCGCGACACCTCCCCCAGCTCCGCGCCCTGCAAAGGAGGCAGGCGCCGCCGCCGTAGGGCGCTTTGTTTGTGCGACGGGAGCGGGGATGCCGGGGCGGGAGTGGCGCCCCCGCCGGAACAGGGGCAAGGGCGCAGCCCGGGGCGCGGGCTGCTGAAGGGAGCACAGCCTCTCCGCTCGCGGCGCGCTGGGCCCTGCCGCCTCCCACCCCTGCTCGGCCCCTTCTCCTTCGGACTACCGCCCCCACCCCCAACGCCGCCGCCGCAGCCCGGAGCCCACTCACCTGCTCTCCACGACCTCCGCGCCGCCGCTCATTGTCGCTCGGCCGCTGGGAGGGGGCGCCACGCGCACCCGGGGCTGGGCGCTCTGCTCGCGCTGAGGCGGCTACTCGAGGGGCTCGCGTGCAGATCACTGCCCGGAGCACCCAGAGGCGGCCTGCGCTGCAGAGGGAGGGAAGAGGGCGAGCGAGAGCCACTGGAGGAGGGGACTGGGCGGGAGGGGGCGCCGGGCGCGCATCTGCAGCCGCAGCCAGAGGCGGCCGGGGCTCCTGTAACGGAAAGGCAGCTCGCCGGCGGCTCCGCGCGTGCACACCGGCGTGCATACTCGCTCACGTGCGCACCCTAGGCGCGCCGTAGCTGCTTGTTGGTGCCCTCACTCTTCAGGAACTCAGTTTGGGGACACTAACGCCGAGGCTTCTGTAAAGAAAGCCAAGTCCCCATTCTGGAGGGGACAGAGACCTCTTGTAACCCTGATTAGTGTTGGATATTAGCTGGGTACAAGAAATGCCGCCCCTTCCCCAAAAAACGGATTCTCAGATTCACTTTTTGGGATTTGTAAACTCCCTGCGATTCTGTGCCAGCTTTGTATCTCAGTACAATTGCCTGGAGAGAGGGATCAGAGCTTTCATCTGATTAAATAGCTGTGTGGATTCTCCCCAAACTAAGGATGGGTGGATTAAACCAGTGACTTCCAAACTTTGAGGCACATTAAACCACCCAGGGAGTTTTTGAAATCACAATGCCCTGAGTGGTATCCCAGACCAATTAAATCAGTGCGTTGGGTTCCAGGCATTAGTAATTTTAAAGATCCCTGGTGATTGCAATGTTCAGGCAAGTGTGGAAACTACTGCTTAGAATGTTGGTGGCCCTCACCATACAGTGCTGTCTTTTACCCCATTTTCAGTGCAGTTGTTGGCTTGTCTGTCTTTTCCATGAGTGGTGGGTATCTCAGAATCTAGCCCAGGTCTGACTCACTCAAGGTAGGTGCTCCCTTAACATTTTGTTTCAGGAAGGAGTCAAAGGCAGAGTCCAGGATGGGTCCTCTACCTTGCACTTTGCTTTTTTCTGAAATTTCTCATGGGCTGAAATACTTCCGACCTCATGGAAATGGCCTCATGTAATGGCTGAGGCTGGGGGAGAAAATGAGTCATTGTAGCTCGAACACATAATCTGTCTTTTAGATTTCTCCAAAGGTCTCAGACCCAGAATGCCCCTACCTGGCTCACAGTGACTCAAAGAGCCAGCACTGGCCATGTGGATGAGTACAGTAGAAGTCATAATCCTTATGAATGGAACACCCAAGAGTCCCAACACTGTGACAGATATTTTATATTCTCGGGAAGAGCTGACCAGGCACTATTACCTGGGCGTTGGTGTTCTGTTGAATGTAAACAATTTCAACCACATCAACATCAGACAGGGCCCCTCTGTGACCGTGATAGATCAAGACAAGAACACGACCACTCCACAATCATGACTGAACACAGAAAACATGAACATTGTCCAAACCACAAAATACCAAACATACGGCTATTTTGGCTAATAAGAGGAACTGCTGCTGCTTCACCAGTTATGGCCTGAGCCTCGCTCTAATCTGCCCTCTCTGTGGATAAGATTTATGAAGATACACATTCATAGAATTAGCCCTGCTTTCCTAAGTCCTCCCCCAAATCAGCTAAAAGCCCAAACGCTTAATATTTTCTAACACCCTCTCACTGAGACACCACCAGGTGTGCATTTCCCTCACTGCAATGAGAAATGAACCCAACTTGTTTAAGTATAGGTGTATCCCTAGTGGTTTTTGGCCAGAGGGCATTAAAAATAAATTATTTAATCATCATGGTAACAGACAAGATAATCATTACATGCTCTTCACATATAAACTGACTGAGGCTCTTATAGATCAGGTAACTTGAGCTCACACAGGGCTAGCTGGCTATCAGTGGAGAGCTAGGGTTCACATTCATATGAGTTTGTGAGTAGCCAGGCTAGCATGTTGCTTATTCACACAAAGTTTGTCTTCCAGATGATCCTAATTCCAACCCCAGCTCTGCCCTTTCAGATGTCCTAATTTGAGCAAGTCAGTTAATCTCTCTTAACTTCAGCTTCCTTGCCAATAAGTAAGAGGATGGGAGGCCTAGGAGCAGGTGTTTCTTATTGAGATAAATTGACATATAACATTATATTTGTTCCAGGTATACAACATAGTGATTTGATATTTATATATATTGTGAAATGATCACCACAGTAAGTTTAGTTAGCATCCATCTCCACGCATAGTTACAAATTTTTTTTCTCTTGATGAGAACTTTTAAGATCTACTCTCTCAGCACCTTTCAAATATACTACACAGTGTAATGAACTGTAAGAAATTGGTATATTTTTTATAAGCTCCCCAGGTTGCCCAACCCAGCGCTTTTTGGCACACTCTGGTTTGGGATTTACCCTGTGTCCCTTCCGTTCCCTCCTAATAGCTCCTCAACCAATTGTAACATCTTTCACAGCCTGCTCCCCACTCTTGTTAAGGTTACCGGTTACCTTGCCACTGCTGGATCTGAGGTACCCTTTCCCATAGACCTTTGAGTCAGTTGACGGTTCTGTCCTTCCTGAAATTCTCCTTCTTTGGCTTCCAGGAAGCCCGCATGGTATGTATGACAACCAAATGACACCCTCAAAGAACTGAAGCTCTCAATTCAACAGACTGTAGGGAACTAGTCTGTGGGCTTCTAAGTGGACTCTTCACTCCAGTTGAGTCTTTTGATGACTGCAGCCCTGGTGGACAGCTTGGCTGCAATCTTAAGAGACCTTAAGCCACAACTACCCAGCTAAGCCACTTCTGGATTCCTGAACCACACAAACTATGAAATAATGTTCATTGGATAAGCTGCCAAATTTGGATTTGTTATGCAGCAATAACTAATTAATATAAACAGGAAATAAGATCCTAGGGTTAGTGCAGTAAAATAACATTATTTACATTTTAACTTAAATTCAACCTTACTTGCTTTGCAGAAGACAGAGAGAGAATAATTTATACAGTGTCAACAATTCTGTCTGCTAATCAGTGAAATGATGAGATGAGATGTATGAGATGAGTCTGCTTTATTAGTCAGACTGGCCCAGTCCCGGACAACTCTCCTAGAAGAGAAGGTCTCGATGCTGACTGTGCTGCTCGTATTTTTAAATATCCATGTTTTATACAAAATGAGAAGAAAGAAGTTAATTCACTGACTTGGGTTTTGTATGTAATGTAGACAAAATGAAATCCCTTAAGGCATCAGGACCTGAGCCCAGGACTCCCCCAAACCAAGAACAGTACTGACCTTAGGCCAGTGTAAGAGGAGCCCGCCCTGGGATCCGTGCTTCAGAGGGCCCTCCTCCAATCACACCTCCCACGGGATGAGGAACCAGTGATGTGCCCTTCCCAAGCCTGTTCCCCACCACGTCTACTTCTAGACCAAACTCAGGGGATGAGAAACCCCAAATTCCCTGCCCAAATGGCCCTGAGCCCACTTGTAGGGCCTGCATATGCCTTTTCCCCAGGCCCAACTTTCCAAGGGTGGAACACGATACCAGAGGGTGTGCACACCCAGGACGAGGGGAGACCAAGGGGCAGCTCTTTAATGGAATGTGCATGGAGCTTGCACAAGGGAGCTGAGTGGGCCACACATGCACACAAGACAGCAGGGGAAAACCAGAAGAGTGACCTCTGGGCACTGAGCCAGCTCTCCTGTTGCTGCCCCACACTGGGGTCGGACTCTGAGGACTCCAACTTGACCTGGCCTTCCACGTCATTTTGCAGAAATATTTTTAAAGGCAGGAAGATAGAATATATTTCATTTAATAGTGTGTTAGCTTGATTTATAACTTAAACCTGTAACAATATAACATTTTAATACTTATATTTAAGATTTAGTAATATACATTAAATATATAAAATTTTAAGTATATAAACAGAAATATTACATGTGAATGTCCATTTGTACTCTATCCCAGGGTCCCACAAATGACCTGGAAGCCCTGGCTAAGAACTAACTTCTTTATCTTTACTCTTTAGTTTTGACCTCTCTTTTCCTGAGGGAGTAGAGGCCAAGGAACCATTTGAATGGGAGAGGAGGGCAATGGGATAAAATGATTTGTCCATCTCCTTCTTCTTTTTTTTTTTCACTTTTATTTTGGTATCATTAATACACAATTACATGAGCAACATTGTAGTTACTAGATTCCCCCCATTATCAAATCCCCACCACGCACCCCATTACGATCATTGTCCATCAGCATAGTAAGATGCTATAGAGCCACTATTTGTCTTCTCTGTGTTATACTGCCTTCCCCGTGACCCCTCTACATTATGTGTGTCCTTCTTCTTTTATTTAGGTATGTTTGTTTATTTGCCCAGCATCTCTGGTTAAATCCGTAAAGACAGTGTGCCTTCCCTCTCTGAGGTCCAAATCATGCTACTTCTTGGAAATCCCTGTAAGTAAACCTCATGCTTGAATTTTTGTGTGGTAGTGGTGGTAGTTTAATGTTCTCCCTGAGATAATTACTCATCTCATTTGGGAGTTAGTGGTCCCAGACCATTTTCCCTGAACCTTCACATATATTATGGAAAACATTGTGTGTGTGTTTGTCTCAAAAATTGTACGACATATGCACAATTTTTCAATTCATTTTTACTCTATAATCTATCTCAAAAATCTATCCATCTTAAGAATAAATTTTGCTGTTTATATAGTTAGCACTATTCCATTTATAAAGCTTTACTTAAATAACCTCATTTTGATGCAAAATATATGAAATTTGTGAGCCATGCATGTTTTTAGATTAAACAGTAATTTTATGTATCCTAATTATTTGGAGAATTGGTGTTGTTTATATAGTTAGCACTATTCCATTTATAAAGCTTTACTTAAATAACCTCATTTTGATGCAAAATATATGAAATTTGTGAGCCATGCATGTTTTTAGATTAAACAGTAATTTTATGTATCCTAATTATTTGGAGAATTGGTGTTAGAGAAGAGAGATTTGAAGAGAAATTTCCTGAAGACACATCTTGGAGATTTCCTTAAATACTGCTATATCAGAGTAAGAATTTTTCAGCTAAGCTTTGAATAAGACCAGCTATTTCCTGATTTAAATATGACAGAGATTACTTGCTTTCCTCTCCCCATCTGTTGCTTCTGTGTCACAGTCTCGTCTGCTTTATCAGGCCACAAAAGGCAAGTGTAGCCAAGAAATCAACACTACAAAGTTCTTTGGTTGCTGACGTTAGCCAGGGGAAATCTTTAGTTGTGTGTTTAAGC